TAATCCTCACAAGAACACTATGTGGCCGATGTTATTGTCTCTGCTTTACCCATAAGGCAACTAAAACACAGAGTTCCAGAGGTGCTCGTTGTAAAGGGCAGAGCCAGGCCTGGAATCCAGGTGGTTTGTCTCCAGAGCCTACGGTCTTTTTTTTTTTTTTAATTTGAGGCATCTTTTTTTTATATATAATATATTTTATTGATTTTTTACAGAGAGGAAGGGAGAAGGACAGAGAGTCAGAAACATCGATGAGAAACACCGATTAGCTGCTTCCTGCACATCTCCTACTGGGGATGTGCCCGCAACCAAGGTACATGCCCTTGACCAAAATCGAACCTGGGACCCTTCAGTCCCCAGGCCGATACTCTATCCACTAAGCCAAACTGATCAGGGCAGAGCCTATGGTCTTAAGTGCCGTGTTGCACTCCCTCTTTCCCATCTCGGGATCTGCAGAATGAAGGCAGCTCTCGCCATGGAGTAACACAGCTCCATCCTCAGGCCATTATGAATAACAAAAGTGTTAAGCAGACAAAACAAACACTGGTACACATATAAAAATGGGTTACATTCTACTCTTTCTCTACTCAAAGTCTATTCATTTCAAACTAATCTCACATGGAGTATATTAGTTTGCTTGTTTTAAGTTTTCTTCTTCTGAGCTCATATATTTAGGATTTGTGTGCACAATTCAATGGTCCTGCCAGACTGGAACAGAGTTTGATTGAAAAGAGGAGCAAGACAAGCAAGAAAGAATGTTCTGAGGTCATGGTGAGCTCAGCTTGAATCCAGATTTAGATTTAATGCCCGGATTTCTAAGAAGAGGCAATGGAACCACCACTCTGATAGGAGAATACCATACATTCAGGACAAGTGGTATCCAAGAGCCATGCAAAAAGGGGGCAAGGTGATGGGGGTGAGGGGGGTGGGCAAGGAGCATCTACACATGCCTCAAGCCTGACCATCAGGCTGGGGGCGATGATGAGATGAGCTATTCATTCCTGAAAAAGGATCACAACAGGGCAAAGTGGCAGGAAGCAAAGTAGAAGTCCAGTCCTAGGGCCTGATGTCATGGTGTCAAGAACAGGACAGGTTGGGCAACAGGCATGTTGGACCAGATCCCAGGTTAGCCGAGAGGTTAAGGCAGAAGCCCGAATGCCAGGCCTAAATAGTGAGATGTGGGTACTAAGAGGGAGATTATGCCTTGGCCTTACCAGTGGTGGGAAAGAGGCAACTTACACGTTACCTGTCTCTGGTTGAGACTAGTATCAAAACTGGGTGGTTCTGAGTGTTAGTGACAAAGCATCAAACTCCAAAGTTGGGGAAGGCGAGGGAAAGGAATCAGGGACTGGTATGGGGCACATAATGTTATCTATATGTACAACATTATTCAATGTAGTCAAGCACAAGAATCTATACTAAAAAAAGCCTAGGTGGCCCTCGCACGCAACGTCATCACGAGATGGCCACCACAAGATGGCTGCATGCACAGCGGAGGCAGGGCCTGGTGGCCACTCTGCATGGTGCCTGGGTTGGGGGGGGGGTCCCAAGGCTCCGCACAGCATGGAGGAGGCTGGTCCCAGCAGAGGAGGCGGGTCATGGCAGGGGAGGGCAGATGTGGGCGATCAGGCCAGCAGGGGAGGGCAGTTGTGGGCGATCAGGCCAGCAGGGGAGGGCAGTTGTGGGTGATCAGGTCGGCAGGGGAGGGCAGTTGGGGGCAATCAGGCCAGCAGGGGAGGGCAGTTGGGGGCGATCAGGCCAGCAGGGGAGGGCAGTTGGGGGCGATTAGGCCAGCAGGGGAGGGCAGTTGTGGGCGATCAGGTCAGCAGGGGAGCAGACAGGGGCAATCAGGCAGGCAGGCAGGCAAGCGGTTAGGAGCCAGCAGTCCTGGATTGTGAGAAGGATGTCCGACTGCCGGTTTAGGCCTAATCCCAGGGATCGGGCCTAAACCAGCAGTTGGACATTCCCCGAGTGGTTCCAGATTAGAGAGGGTGCAGGCTGGGCTGAGGGACACCCCTGCCATGCACAAATTTTGTGCACTGGGCCACTAGTATAACAATAATATTAACATATGTACACATATGTCCAGGTCTGAATGAATACAGCATGTGTGTATGTGTGTATATGCCACAGAATTGAGGGAAAGGGAAAATGATAAGGGCTCTTAAAGGTGTGGTTTCTGGCAGGACTCTTGTCTTCTTTCACTCCCCCCTGGCTTACCTGCTTGAACTCTTTTGTTGAAGAGCCATGTTTATGTGCTACTTGGCTCTGCCCCACATTTTTCATTCTGTCTATATCTCACACAGTGAGCATGAATATTAATCAGGTAATTCCTGGTAATTAGTTTTCTCAGCACAATGTTCACTTTCTTTGGTTTTGATGGGTCAATAAAGTGGAGAATTATGCCAACATAACACAAATGACCCTGCCAAGAGGAATGAATCCAGAAAAAACCTGTTGTAATCATAGAATGGCAGGCTTCTTTTTGAAAAGTTTAACACATACTGAAAGAGCACTGGTTGACCAACCAGCTTCGAAGGTCAATGGTGAAAAGTCACCCAAAATGACACAAGCAGAAATATTGGAAAAAATTCCAATAATGAAAAAGGATTAAACAAAAAGATAGTATATAGACACAGACAACAGCATGGTGATAGCCAGAGGGGAAGGGGGTGTTGGGGGGAGATGGAGGTGGGAAAAAGGGGGGAATGGGGAGGGAAAGAGACTTTGCTTGGGGAGATGGGTGCACGATGCAGTGTGAAGATGATGTTTTATTGAGTTGTACACTTAAAACCTGTATGGTTTTGAGAACCAATATCACTCTAATAAATTCAATTTTTTTAAAAAAGATTATTTGGGCAGTAGTCTCAGCATCAAGACAGTATATAGAAATTGATCACAAGTTTAGCTTTATTTTTTAAAACCATTTTCTCTCTCTGTCTCTCTCTCTCTCTCTCTCTCTCTCTCTCTCTCTCTCCTCTTGCTCTCTTCTGTCTTCTCATTTTATGCATAAAAATGCAACCAGGCTGAACTAAAGCAAATTGGTTTAATTCCCTGGAAGGAATTAAATTTTCCCAGCAACTCTCTACTAGAGGCATTTGTGTATGGCTTTGTGGATGGAATGTGAAAGCAGTCAGCTACATAAACCAATAATCAAGTGAAACATTACCTATTCTAAAGTGCCCTAAAACAGCATTAACATCACCAATTAAAACAGTGGGCATAAGAGAAAGGAGAATGCTTCCTCCAAAAGAAATAGGAAAAAAAAATAAAAAGTAAATATGTGTGTGGGATATGTGGTAGGGGGTGGAAGCAGTAGGGAGGGTGGAATAAAATCTAAGGGAAATTAATTCCATCTTAAAGGCAAATCTGTCACAGGAGTGCTAGTAGGAGGTCTTTTTGATGGGATAGAAGAAAGGAGTGAAGAATACATCCAATGATTTCATCAAATTGAAATTTCAGCCATTTACCTAAATTGCCCAAACATTAGACACTTACAAAGCCGTTTGTATGTGCCCACTCTGAACCTGTTCTAAAATAACACGTAAATAGAAGATGACAAGTAATAAACATTAAGGGTTCTTTTCTCTTTTATGGTTGAAACTTGTATTGAAACACGGTCCATCAAGGATCACCAAGGGGTAGTACGTTCCTTCATCATCACACACTTGTTCAACAAATGCTGAATGCTTTGTGCAGCCCTTGATGTTGGGGATACAGAGACACAGAAGATATTCCTGTAGCCCTCAAGCCAGGCTCTGAAGCTAGTGTGGCTTCCATATTCCCTCAAAGGACTGGCCCCACCACCCTCACATCTGCATGCACTGACAGCACCAGTGTTTCCTTTTAAGATGATGTCCACAGTCCCGTGGACTGTGCTTCTGACCACAGCCTGGAATGAGGGGGCCAGCAGCCTCCCCACATGGAATCTTCACATGGCCTTAGAGCTCTTCAGCCTGCACATCTGAAGAATGTTATGCACTTATTCTCTTTTAATCTTTTTCCTTCATATGATTTCCCTGAAAATCTAACCAAGGGCATGAAAGAGAGGAGCATATCAGTTGACCTTCAAACTGGCCCACCTTCTGATTCTCATGAATCTGCCCATTTTCTGCCCAGGTGATAGTGTAGTTGCCATAATACCTGGAGTAACATTCCAGAAGCTCCCTCTGGCCGGTCTACCTTATCAAATTTACCTTCCACTGCAGACCTGCCTTAGCCTCTGGGCACCCCTGGTTACCTGTCTCCTCTGGAAGAGGACTCCGCCCTTAGGACGCGGCCTCTGTCTTTCCTTTCACTGTTACCCCTTCTCCCATTTCTGCACTTAGAAATTCTTCATATATTTACTTTTTTCCTTATACCCATGATCATAACAGTATTGCAAAAGTGATCAAGTATAAACAATAAATTAAATGATATTAAGACTACTCCCACCTCCAGAGACTGTTACAATATGAGAATTTCAACTAGATATTAATTTAAAATAAAAGTATGCATATAAAGCTGATAAAATACATAGATAATAAAGCAAGAGCACATTTAAATGCCTACTTTTTTGTCCAAGTTCGTTATTATGATGTCACTTTCTTATTTCTGCTTCTCCCTCTCTCTTTAGGTGGAAATGAAGTTTAAAAAATATGTAGATGTATTTTCTCCTATATTTTCATTTAAGCCCTTTGTAGTTATACTATGACGGAATCTAACTTATAACATAATGACAATCCTGAACCAAAAGTATGGGGTTAATTAAATACTGTCCCAGTGCCCCCAAATGTGTGCAGAAAGACTTATAAAAATGACATCACATATGCACAGCACTAAAGCACTAATGAGGTTATAAAAACAACATATGCCCTCTCTCTCACCCACTGTTCTCATCCCATCAGGAGTCCGTTCAGAATTTCTTGGAAGCTACTTACAGCTCCTAGTGACCCCAGATGGCTTAGGAGTAGGGAGTGGCTTTCCCAGTGGCCCAGCCAGCTGTTGGTCTGGCCAGTGGTTACCTGCACAGGAGTGGCGATCTTGGTAGAAGCCATCCCCGCAGGTGGACACACACTGCCCGTGCCGCATCAGCAGGGGCGGCTGGCAGGAGGAGCACTCCAGGCCACTGGAACACGTGGAGCACTGAGGCTGGCAGGCTGCTCCGGACAGCGTTGGGAGAAAGAAAAGGGAAGCTCTGATTAGCTCAAAGACACCACTGCAGAGTCATTTCCTGCACAGCTCAATTCTGAGGCTCTGGGGTCACAGGGAATAAAAAAGCAAAAAAAAAAAATCTTAGCCTTTAATCATAGAGCACCTATTTCATGCCAAGCACTGTACAAAGTGCTTTAATATACAAATGCATTTCATCTTTATGACAACCATATGGGATAGATATTATTAATCCCCATTTTACAGATGAGGAACAAACTCACAGAGGTTAAGGAGCTTGACCAAGGACACATGAAACTGGCATTTGAAGCCAGGCAGTTAGGTTCAGGGATCTGAGTTATTTTCTTTTTATCCACTAGTCCCCAGTATCTTTCTCACTCAACCATTTCACAAAAATACCCCTGGCCTCTTTCCCTTCACAACCTATGGCAGAGATATAAATAAATTTCAAACAGTCTGAAGACTATAAATCAGGAGAGAAAGTAGGAGTAAATGAATAATCGCAAAAATAATAAAAACAGTTAACCTATATTGATCCATGACTATATCCTAGACACTTCACATGCATTGACACACTTAATTTTCACAAGAACCGTTTGAGGAAGGCACCAGTGTTACCCCATTTTATAGATGAGAATATTGAGGCACAGAGAGCTTAAATACTCACAGCCAGGGTATGAACCTATACACTCTTAAATTCATAGTTAACCCTATGATTCAGAAATAGAAAAAAAGCAACTATGATTTGACCTCAACCATACTAAATTTTCCCAGGTAAGTTCTCCTTTTCACTTTATATAAGAATTCTAAAATACACATGAACACATTCTGGATCCGCTGGTAAGAACCCATGAGAGATAAGCTCTATTACCAACTCCCTGTGTGATGTTGAGAAAGCAGGTTAATACTCTGTCCCACAGGTTCCACATTTGCAAAATGAGAAAGTTCTAATAAGTGATCTCAAAGGTCCGTGTCAATACTAAAGTTCTATCTTGGATTCACTGCATGTTTTAATAAATGACACCAAGCATCCTGATATTACTATCCTTCAAAAAATGAAAAATCCAGCTATGACTACATAGCAAGCATCTGCCCTCCCATCACCTATCTGCCAGTAAGACTAGAAATACCTGTAAAATATTAGAAGAAAGAGACCTGCAGATAAAGAAGCCGAGTAACCTATGGATGGCTTTATTATCTAATAATGGTTTGGAAGTTGTGCATGTCCTGCATCCAGGACCCCCTCCTTGACAGCAGTCAGCCTCTGTCCACCTCTGGATGCTCTGCTTGGAGCCATACCTAAACAGAGGGCCCCAGCTTGGTAAAATCCCGGGCCGCAGCTGTGCACACACTGTCCATTCCGCAGCAGCTTCGTGGGGTCCTGGCAGAGGACACAGTGGTCTGGAGATTGAGAACAGGTCAAGCAGTCTGGGTGGCAGTAAACTGCAATCAAAGATAAAGAAGAAAACTCAGTAAAGACCATCTAATTTATTTCTCTTACATCATCCCCAAAAAAGAGCTGCATGGAATATGAAGAACAGAAAACTCTGGAACTTAAGTAGAAAAAGGCTCCCAAATAGAAAAAATTATTTTAATGCAAGATTTCCTAAAACCCCTCCTTATCTGAAATGACATCACTGTCTCCTATAGCTTCAAATTAAAGATGCTAAAAACATTACCAAACCAGCCTATTAATGCTTCTACCTGCAGGAATTCCTCTTAAGACAGGAATGGCTAGCTCTACAATATATGATTTAAACAGATTCGATAATTTATGACTTTTCAGATGTTCTTAAGCTTTGATGTGCATAAAACGTTAAGACATAAAACCGATTTTTTTTAAATCATTTTTTTTTAAAAGAAATACAGCCAGTTTTCTTATTTTTCTCTAAAATGTCAAATCTTATTCCCAGTAACTGGGATTATCACTGAATTTAACGGTAATTTTCAGCAAAGAATTTCCTTCAGGTATTAAAGTTGTCAAGGACATGATTTTCAAGGTATGCTACATTATCATGTGCTAAATGTTTGCTTTGGAAAACCCAGAGAGCCACTTTGGTGAAGGTAATGTAATTAAAACATAAAGTTGCTTTGCTCTTCTCATAATACACTCTTCACGAAACACTGTGATTAGCCAAAATAAGTTGAGTGCTACAACTGCCAATATGAAAAACTGCAACCCATGGATGAAAACAATTAATTATGAAATATGAATGGAAGAAAATGCCACTTCTCTGAGAGACAAAGCTCATAGGCAAATTACTGCTCAGCCAGAGTAACCCCAGCGCTTGCCAACAATTATTAACTGGAACTAATTCCACCCCAGGTGATTTGAAAGCAGAGTTCCAGGACAAGTAGGTAAAAATTTCTTTTGGAAGAAATTAATGAGTCTTTAAACTTCAAAAACCCTTTTGAGAATTGCAAAAGAAACCATCTGTTTAATAGCTCACCTTTAAACAAAAAAAAAAGGACATCCATAACAAACTTTCAGCAATTGTCCTTATAGCTTAAAAATTGAAACAGTCCTACCAAATAGTTGCCTTTACAAGTTTTCAAAAATTATGTTATTTGATTTTTCACAATAACTTTGTGAGGTAGATAAAACACATTTTATTGACAAGAAAATTAAGATTTAGAGATGGTTAATGACTTGGCCAGGGGTCATATACTCATCATCCGTTGAATTTGGCAAATACCTGGACAAAAATTAATTAACATCATTTGTTAGAAAAATTAGGAAGGAAAAAACAAAAAAAACCCAACAAAGTCAATGGGTGGTTTGGAAGAAAAAAAAAAAAGCAAGGGCAGGGGAAGAGGATCTCTGAGTTTTTTTGACAGCAGAAAACATCTCAGTAGAAATAAATTAGATATGGACCCACCTGCCGTGCATTCTGGGCAGCACTGTCCCTTCACCACCTGGGCTAGTGTGGCCACTGGACACGGTGGACATGAGGGCTCATAGCAAGTTACCTGAGCCCCGCGGCACTCACACAGCTTGCAAGGGCCATCCTCCCACTCCTCTCCCTCCTACATGAGACAATAAAGGTGTTAGCAGAGTGCAGAGATTCTGAAGACAGTTTGCTGATGGAGAACTTATCATTTCCATATGGGACAAAGTGAAGGCTCCTGATCAGTACCATGTCAAACCTAACTCTGAAATAGGACATTAGTAGAAGTGTCTTAAATTTAAAAGGACAGTATTTCTAATCCTTTGTTTTTAATTGGGTTATTTTAATATAGAACCCAGGCAGAGAGATACGTTGTGAAAGCATTCTGGGCCTCCCACAATAAGAAAGAAGCATAGAGCACTTGTTTCCCATCCCATCTCACAGAGAAAACGCCAGAGGGGTTTACTCGGTACCTAGTGATTAACAGATACATTACCTACAATTTTTATAATAACAATAAGAAGCTGGTGGAAGCCCTGAATTTCCTTATGGTTGCTAAGGTAAGAGTAACAGTAGTGTCATTGTATTCTTAGTGAAACTTCTGGCAGGTATCTTTTAAAAAATATATATTTTATTGATTTTTTTGCCGAGAGGAAGGGAGAGGAATAGAGAGTTAGAAACATCAATGAGAGAGAAACATTGATCAGCTACCTCCCGCACACCCCCTACTGGGGATGTGCCCACAACCCAGGTACATGCCCTTGACCGGAATCAAACCTGGGACCCTTCAGTCTGCAGGCCGACGCTCTATCCACTGAGCCAAACTGGTTAGGGCCTGGCAGGTAGCCTTTTAGTGGGCTGTAGATGTGCCATGGGCAGCTTTACACTAACATATTTTTTCCCGCCCTAAATCAATAAAAATATATATATATATTTTAAAATAGTTTTTCCCGCCAAGCAAATTGTGGTAATAAACATTAGTACTTTGACAGAGAATCTACTGTGAATTATAAAGAGTATTTATTTATTTATTTATTTATTGCTTGCTATCCCACTTGCCCAGATTATAGGAAAGAGACAAAGGTTCCCACCAGAAGGTTTTGGGGGTGATGAAGGAGGTAGAACAGGTAATAGGAGAACATATTTTAGGACAAAGATTTGATAAAATATTTATTAAGCCAAACCATGTTAAAATTCCAATGTGGCAGTATTTAGCAACAATGAATGACAATATTACAAAAATGAGGGAGATTATCTTGAGAAAGCAGAAATGCTTTTCTTCCATTTCAAGGCAGACCAGATTCTATAACCTCCAACAGTGTAAGGTTGCTTAGGTGAACAAACATGCTTTCATTTTCCCTTAAAAAGAAACCATACAACACTGTCCTGCAAACACTATAGAGAGAGTGAACACGTGGTATTGCTTGGAGAGTGAACTCTCTCAAGACCCAAAAGCTCTCTCTTGAATGCTCTGCAGTACATGAAATTGCACTAATGGCTAAACTGAGCTATTTTAGGCCAGAAAATTCAGGAGAAAATCATCACAAGAACGGAAAAGGATCTATGCAGGAGCTTGTAGTTGAAGTATTACTTACCAATTATTGGGGGGAAGGGGGGAACAAGCTAAAGAAAGGAGGAAAAGTTCAAAGAATCAAAGTCTTAGTTATTATTAAGATTCTTAATCTGAGGCCATGGCCATCAAACATGACTGCTAAAAATCCTAAGGCAGTAAGGTTCCACAGAACAGTTTATGCAGATCATTGCTTAAAACAATTTTATAAGTGTCTATATAAAGTTAAAAATCTATACTTACTGGAATATGTTTAACTTCACTCGCATTTGAGGACATCTAGGGACAAAGAGAAATGTTTTTATTATACCACTAAAAACACCATTAGGCTGAGCTATCTGTTTTTTCATTAGGAACTATCCATCTTCCCCCAAGTGACACGCAACACCATTCGTCAGTTATGAATAGGAATAAAATCTATCTTTATATAAAACAAGAAAAGCATAGCAATATGAGGTGAAGACAAGATGCCAGGAAACATTTTTAAATTCTCATTCTCACTTTGTGTTTGAGCACTTGGCTTCCATTCCCCTAAATGGGAAGGACTTCACAGTCAAGAGATCTAACTTTGTAAGAAACTCTTGAATCTTGTGCAGAACTAGAAAGAGCATTAAGGGGATTTCACTTATTTAAAATAATTTAAAATTTATTTTAATTCCACTGAGTTTAATTGACCTCCAAAAATGAGCAGAAAAATTAATACTATGATTGAGAAAATACAGATTCAACATTTATAGGGAACCTTTAATCTCTTAAATTCTTAAGAAACAAGAATGACTGAACTATGAAACACCACTATTAACAAACAATGCCAACAACATAATAACAATAATATCATTTTAAAGCTGTTTTGTGTGTGCCAGGCACTGTTCTAAGTGCTTTATACATATCATCTCAATAGACCCATGAGGTAGTACCATTTTTATCCCTACTTTACAGTTGAGGATTACGTAACTTGCCCAAGATCACAGTATGTGGCAAAGTAGGGATCTCAACCTAGTGCCTGCACATTAACCCTACACAATACTGCCTCCTCAGCACATACAGCACACTGGCAGGTGGATAGATGCAATCTACCCAGATCACAGAGAAAAAGTATATAGGAATCAGTTCACAAATCAAAGAATCAAAGTACCTAATCCTAATGCTTATAATCCTCCTCTGATTGGTCAATGAAGCAGTTGTATTTATGATCATCGGGCAGGTTTTTTAAGAACACGGTGAACTTATTAACATTCCACAACCTCATGTGAAAAATATGGGCTACATGAATAGAGTACATTTGAAAAGATTAAGATAAATATTTTTTTCCTTTGGCTATATATGAAAAAATATATAGATATAGGGAGAAATAAAACCTTAGCAAATAGTTTCAAAACATCCAATCCATCAAAATTCTTTCGATCCTATCTGCAAAATAAATCCAGGGCCTGGTCACTTTTCACCACTTCCTCCCTAGGCCAAGACACCATCACCCTTTCTCTGGACTATGGCAAAACCTTTGAACGGAACCACCTACTTCCAATCTCGTCCCCTCTGTCCCTCGCCCAAGTAGCAGCCCAAATGATCCTCTCACAAGTAATCCAGATCCCAGGCACTGCTCTGCTTGGCACTGCCCAGCAGCTGCCATCTGCATCAGGGTAAACGCATCTTTATCACTGAACCTCATCTCCAACTCCTTTCCCCTCAGTCACTTGGTGTCAGCCATACTCACTTTTTAAAAAATATATATTTGTATTGATTTCAGAGAAGAAGGGAGAGGGAGAGATAGATAGAAACATCAATGATGGGAGAGCATCATTGGTCAGCTGCCTCCTGCACCCCCCACACTGGGGATCGAGCCTGCAACCCTGACCAGAATCAAACGGTGACCTTCTGGTTCTTAGGTTGACACTCACTGAGCCACACCAGTCGGGCTGCCATACTCTTGCGGTTTCTTGAACGTGCCAAACACATTTCTGCTTCAGGCTTTTTCAATTGCTGAGAAATTGTGCTCAAATTTCTCTGCCTGAGAGACTTCCCCGACCACCTTATGTAAAAGAGCACCTGCCTCCATCCCAGGTACTCCCTAGTCCATAAAGCTGCTTTATACTCTAGGCAGAACTTTGTCCTCTGTGTCCCCACACTACAATGTAAGCTCCATGAGAGTATGGACTGCACCTACTATGTCCGCATCTGCATCCCCAGTACCTGTCACACAGTAGGTCCACAATCATATTTGTTGAACAAATGAGTAGGTGAAAGAAATGAGGATGTAATACCCCCTCATTAAATTAATTTTGAATTATTAGTTCTTTTTTTGAATTATTAGTTCTTAATAGCCTTTAGTTATTTGCCCAATACTCACAAATTCTGCATTTTCTTCATAAACACAATAGCCACTCCTTGAAATGCATTCAGGACAGCATTTTCCATCTAAGTGAATTAATTCTTCACCCTGTAGAAGTAAGGGTTGCAGAGACTTATCAAATTAACATCCCCAGGTAGCAATGCTAAATTTCGAAGCAGCTGGATTCACTGACTGGAATGAAAAACGTTGAGCGCTCTCTTGCGCTTTGGCCCAGGACTCATTGAATTCCCACCCCCCCCCCACCACCACCACCACCACTGCACTGTCTTCCTACAGAAAGTCTGCTCAGTACAGTCACTAGTCATCCCCAAAACCTTTTTCTTCCGAGTTCTGGTGATACTTGTGCACAGATCCCTCCATAATTTCCTACCTAGGATCAGGAGCTAACATGAATAACAAGAATGGCCAAGGTTAATGTTACAGTCTTGGAAAGTTATGAGCTTCAGAAAAGGATCAGGCTTTCTTTAATACACAAGGTTTGAACTTGTGGTTCGGTTTCATTTACAGCTCAAGTCAAACCAATGTTTTCCCTTGAAAACAAAACCAGACACGTTCAATATTCAATATTCTGAAACTGTTATCTGACTTACATAATCACTATTTTTAAAAATTATGAGGAAGGAAAGAAATGCCACACTAGGAAAGTAGATGTTTAACTTTCAAATTGTTATTATTTTAACTTCCCAATATCAGCAATTTCAAAATTTTTGTTTTTAATTACAAAATAATAATAAATACTTAGTATAAAAATTAAATAATTCTGAATTTTGTAATTTAGAAAGTATAATTCCACTGGAGCTTTACCTCTCAGGGAATCTATTAAAAATACAATCTCCGTTTACAATTTTTTGTATGCCTACACTAATATCTAATATCTATGAGCTAAAAAGTGTTCTTGAAAGCACTTTTCACTTTGTAAAGATATATCTATTTTCTAAAAAATGGTGATGTCTCTTTAAATGAAGACATTATTTCATTTGGGAACTATATTATATTTAAAGTGCAGAAACCATGTTAGGCAAAAAATTAAATCATGTAAGATAGCTTAAACAGAATAATCACAATGATATTTTATGTTTAAAACACTGTGCATGAAAGAAAAATATAAAAATAGCATTGGTTGCTTTGAATTGTAGCATTATGAATAGATTTTAAAGTCTCTTCCACTTTTCTTGTCTTAAATTTCCTAAAATGAAAATGCATTATTTTAATGAAGGAAAACATAAACATTTTAAAGAAACAAACAAACAAACAAACAAAAAAACACCACACACATGAACTTTTTAGTGTCTAAGAAGTTATGTCAATAAGAAGGGAGTTCTATAGATCGATGCCTATCAAAATCTAATGCCAAATCAGAGGCCAATGGGTGCTACAGAGAGCAGACTATTTACATATAAATTGTTTTGCAGAAATGTGACAAATGAGCTAGTAGTGAAGGCATAACCCAGAAACACGATGAAATTTGATTTGAAAGCGTAAAAAGGGGTTTATAGGCATGTAATCTAGGTTGCTTAAAACAATGTTTTGAAACAAGACAGACTATGTGTACTTCTATTAAAGACAAAATGCATGAGATTCTTGAGTGCCCACTACAATACAGAGACAACACTGAAGATGGAGCCTGCATCACCCCAACAAAGCAAAGAAGGTGGCAGTTCTGAGTTTTCTTTTGCTCCTGTAAATAACAGCAAGCCCTGCTCCCGGGCAGCAAGGATTCGGTTTTGGTGAGGTGGTTAGTTCTAAATAGATTTGTTATTTATAGAAGCCTGGATGCCCCAAACTGTGTCAGTTCACTGCGGTGGGGAACTCACTCCAATTAGCTTTTGACTTTTGCTTGGAGAAAAATTGCTTTGTGAAACAAAACTAATTCTTTTTCTTTTGAGAAGATTCTGCTGCATGGGCCAAATTAATTCTGCTCACCCCTCCCCACTGAATCACACCTATATCCACCCACCAGACAAAAGTCTCCACACACCTGCCCACTGGGAAAGGAAACACTCTTCTGAGAGGCTTTTCCTCTATTGGAGAAGGGGAAGGCACCTCACTTTTATGGCCTGCCTACCCCCTCCCATGCACTTTGCTACAATCGCCCATCAATAGCCCCATAAGTTTATGTCTCATATACAGGGTGGGGCAAAGAAGGCTTACAGTTGTTCACTTGGAAAATAATATAATGATTAATAAACATAATACAATAATAAACTCTGTTTCACGTATTCACAACTATAAACCTACTTTGCCCACCCCTGTATGCATGAATGCTAGATCCCTTAAAAAAAAAGGTAATTTGACTTTTTTGACTTTTTTATCTGAATTCATCTTTAAAGATAACACAAAATATAGGAAAATGAAAATCATCGTATTGTGCTATTCTACTGTTGATTTATTTATGTTCCTACGTCTAGGAATTTGGTTTTACTATGTCAAAGACAAGGGTCATACCATGTTCTCCTTTTTTTGTTGTTGTTTTGTTAATCCTCACCAGAAGATATTTTTTCCATTGATTTTTAGAAAGAATGGGAGGGAGGGAGAGAAAGAGAGAGAGATCAATGTGAGAGAGACACATCGATTGGTTGCCTCCTTCATGTGCCCCCACTGGGCAGGGATTGAACTTGCAACCCAGGTACATTCCCTTGGCCTGGAATCAAACCTGAGATCCTTCAGTGTGTGGGCCAATGCTCTAACCACTGAGCAACACCCGCCAGGGCACCATGTTCTCCTTTTTAAAGAAGAGTTGTGTGCTGATTTCAATGCTCTTCAGAATACTGCTGTTGATAACCAGTGAGATAATCATTACAATTGTGAAGCTGCACAATTTGCTTCCTCATCTTTGTGGATGTGCAAACACTTAGACTTAATCCACCCTTGCTATCCAAGATTAGAAATCTAATGACCTTGATATTCTAGAAAAGGCAGCAAGTAGGTGAGAATTGAATAAAAATACCAGTAGCATATTTTCACTGCTCCCTTGGGCAGACATAATCATTTTCTGCAGGTGTTCCTAATGCATTTAATTCATACTTCCATAATTGTTAGTGTCACCACATATTATAATTTCTGTCTATGTATCTGACTTCCCCAAAGGTTAGGAACTCTTAGATCAGAATGTGTCTTGTTCATCTTTCTATATCCAACTAAACAGAAGTTGGAAAGTTAGTATGTCCAAGCTTTTCCAAGGTCATTAACCATACTAACCAAGGTTAACATGCCCAGGTTTACACAAGGTCATTGACCAAGGTCATTATTTACAGATGTACGGCATAGAAAGAAGGCTAAGCAATATTCTTTGTAAGATTCGATTTTAGTCAAAATTTCACTTATTTTTTTAAAATATATTTTTATTTATTTCAGAGAGAAAGGGAGAGGGAGAGAGAGATAGAAACATCAATGATGAGAGAGAATCATTAATGGGCTGCCTCCTTTATGCCCCCTACTGGGGATCAAGCCCACAACCCAGGCATATGCCTGGGAATCAAACCATGACCTCCTGGTTCATAGGTCAATGCTCAACCACTGAGCCACTCTGGTCAGGCAAATGTCACTTCTGATAGTGTTTCCAGTTTAGAAGCCTGCACCTTAAATGAAATTTAGGAACATGGAAGTAATGTGGAAAAAAGCACCTGAAGAAATAGGAGAGAAGATGAGGTGGGGATGGGAGATGAAAGTGGAAAGAGATGAGGTAGTGCTATTGAAGACTACCGAGGCCCTCTCCACTTACATCCGCAGTTGCTCCTCGTTTTCCCTAAAAACAGAGAAGACCTGGCTTATGCTGCCACAAGTAGGTGTCACAGGAAGCACTGGGGAACTCCCCAACATTGGGGGGTAATAGGTCAAATGATTTTCTCTGAGAGCGACTCCTTGTTCAGACAAAATAGATGGCAGAAGGACTCACCCGACCAGGACCATGTCTTCCATGTTTTCCATAAACCCAAAGATCTGAGACAAATTAAAACCTTGGGAAATAACCCAGCATCCTCTGGGCAGACTGCCGAGGCCAGGAAGCCCTGCCTCAGCCCGAGAGAGGGAGAAGGACAAGGGCCCTGATTAGGGTTTTTCTCATCTTCATCCAACCATTCTGACGCCCTGACATAATCAAGGGGAAGAAAGGAAAAGGCGTGTGGGGGGAAGTAAATCTGCAAGGAGCAAGACCCGCTTTACTTAAACATGTCTCAGGTCTGCCAGGACTCCAACGTAGGAGGCAAATGAAAAATAACCCTGTCAAGGCAGGCTTGTTTGAGAGGTTGTTCCTCCTTAGGCTCAGTGTGAGGAGGAGCTGAGACGTGGGGAGGAAGAATTAGAAAGAAAAATATTTTTACAGACACCCAGTGCCTCTGATCCCCGGAGTTTCCCTCTTCTGTTCAAGTTCACAACCCCGCGGGGAACTGGTGGGGCGGAAGGGAGCGGTAGGGGAGAAAGAGGCAACTTTAAAAGCAATTTGTTTTGCAGTGGGTAAAAATTGAGTTCAAAGAGAGAGAGAAAAAAAAGCAATTTCCCTACAATATACTATAGTGCAAACAGGGGCTACTTTGTGAGAGGCTTCTAGAAATTCAGCAGACAGCAGAAGTTAAAAGAGGTCAAGGGAGTTAATTACTCTTGAGCCCCCCCCCCCACCCCCCCCCAGCCCCTTAGAACAAAAACATAAAAACATTTTATTCTCTTTCCTGGGCACCAGGAGCAGCCCCTCGGTGCTGGCCCGCCTCTCTGAGTAACCGCTGCCAGTGGGGCCTGCAGCAGAAGCTGAGCCTGGAGCCCCCGAGGGCCTGTCTCGCAAGCACAGCCAGCTGGGCAGACACCAGCAATGAGGTCAGCTGCACTGGCGGAGAGGCTCATGGCTACATCGTGTCCTTCCCTTCCTGTGTCTGTCCCAGGCCTTCCCCTCTGACCAGATGCCCTGAGCGCTGAAGGCTCCAGGGGACTGTTCCGAGCCTGTCTGAGCAAACGGGGACATTTACTTTACACCACAGCATCCTGGTGCTAGAAGCAGTCCACCTGGTGGCCGGGTGGGCCCCTCTCCTGCCAAATAGGGAACCGGGGAGGGGACCCCCTAGGGACCCCCTATCCCATCGGAGAGCACTCTCACAGTCCAGGTGGAAATGCCCTTGCTTCTTACCTGGGCACACTCCACCCTGGCACACTCTCCGGCGTGGCAGGTCACTCGGCCGCGGTCACACACGCAGAACTCACAGGCCGAGCCCCGCCACATCTCATCCTGGTACCGCACACTCCCGTGGTGGGAGCAGCTTCCGGCAGGAGACACACATTCCTCACAGCACTCCCCATGGCGCTGAGCCCTTCTCTGACCCTGAGGAAACAGGAAGGTGGGGGGCGGGGGAGGGTGCTCAGGAGACATCCCAGCCAGTGGGACAGGAGGCCATATCGCACCACCACCCTCTCTTCTTCCCCCCAACTCACCCAGCCCGGCAAGTCCCCCTCCCCTCAGCCCTCCTTCCTGGAAGCAGACCTTTCATATCTTTATCCGATATACTAAACATTATAAACTTTTGATTGCCCAAAGGACACACTGGACTAAGAAACCCATGTCTGAAGTGGCCCAGAATAAAACTTTGAAAATCACACTACACGCTCTCTCGGTACCTTTTCACATCTTAGAGGGGGGCAGGCTTGCGTGTGGCACCGGACCTCGCCCTGGTCACATAGGCAGGTGGTGCAGGCGTTTTCCCTCCACTGTTCACCATGCTGAGTAAAGAAGACAGTCAGAGAAAGATAAATATCACATGATCTCACTCATTTGTGGAATATAATGAACAACATAAACTGATGAATAAAAACAGATCCAGAGACAGAGAAGCATCGATCAGACCATCAAACCTCAGAGGGAAGGTAGGGGAGGGGGGGTTAGGGGGATAGATCAACCAAAGGACTTGTATGCATGCATATAAGCCTAACCAATGGACAAGGACAACGTGGGGGGGGGGGGGGGAATGAGGGCATGAGTGGGGGGGGTGGCAATGGGGGATAAGGACACATAGGTAATACCTTAATCAATAAAGAAATTTAAAAAAAAAGAAAAAGAAAAGAAATTTAAAAAAAGAAGAGAGGGGAAAATCCAATGTCACATATATTAAGTAGAAACACAGGCGCGTAAGACAAACGATTTTTTTATTTCAATTTTTAATGGAGCCACACTGAATGTACTCGTGAGAAATGATATCATTTAGGTAGCAACAGCCTCTCAGAACAAAGCCAATAAGTGTCCTGAGGGAACTCTGGATTAACTGTCATTCCATTCTCTTCATCCCACAGATGTGTTGAGGGCCTGCCCCATGCCAGGCACACAGAGGACACATAGGAAGAGCCTGTTTGTTGGCTGGTCAATGGTCATTCGTTAGTTCTTCTTCTTTGTCAGGCAACCCAGCTCTCTCTGCCACATATTGATTTTCCCAGCTTCCCCTATAGCAGGGCACAGCACTGTCCCAATCCTAACCGAGGGGACCGAGGGGAAGTTTGCTAGAGAGACAGAGGCCAAGAAGACTTGTCTCCCCATGAAGAAAAGGACACTCCTTCCTTCCACCAGCCTTTAGTGGTGGTTATGTGAGGATAAGCTGCCATGCTGGGGACTGGAGGAGACAGGACAGAGGGCAAATGCTACATGCTGAGCATGCAGGGTGGGAAGATCAAAAGAGCTTAGATCCTTGACGACATCCCTCAGACCCGAACTGAGCAACCCTGCAACTGCCCTACCTCTGCACTTCCTGTTATATGAGACAATAAATGTTTTCATTTTAGCTACTTTTAGAGGAGTACTTCTGTTCCTTGCAACCAAAAACCTCATAACAGACACAGAGGCTATCTCTTCCATGAGAAATTAATCTAGCACATACATGGCCACTGCACTGGGCAGCACAGATCTAGTGCACCCCAAAATCCTTTCCCCGTTAGTTATTTGCATTCAGATTTCATGTGATCCACCTATAATTTCTGACACCATCCTCAGATTCTCTACTGAGAGTCACAATCCCAATTTCTGTTTAGTCTTCCTTAGAGTAGTTGACAAGCAAGAGAAGTAGTTGGGTTCACTCTTAATATGTTCTTTGCTTTTGAATAATGTAACCTCCTTTTAGTTCAGTTGGGCACTCCTAAGATAGAATATTCATTGATTTATTCCCTTCGTTGGGCTGGTTTTTACTTGATGCCTACTATCTATTAGGCAGCTATCCAGACTGCCCAATAGTACTTAGAAGTTTAGAGGATCCACTACCACCAACCCCCTGCCTCCCTTCCCTCTCTCACCTACCACCCCCATGCCCCCACCCTCAGTGTAAGGTAAGGGGGCATTATCTCTAAATATCAGTACATAAAATCCAACCAAAGCAGACAACCTAAGTGTAAACTGATAGTGACCAATGACAGTCCTTTTTTCTCTTCAAGATGTATGAACAGTAAGTTTGCCAAGGTTCATGAGCTGGGGGCTGCTTGCCAGCACATTCCTTTATATTTCTAATCCCTTCCCATTTAATTTTTTTATAAAGGCTTTCCACGTAGAGAAGAAAAAAGATGCTGATGTACTGAGTTACTAATCCTGGCAGAGTCAGACATGAGGGCAGGAGGTACAGTGGTTGAAAGAATGGAGGGCAGATGTGTGAAAATGTATGTCAAACACCTGCATGGGGTACAGCAGAGGTTACCTGGTATACTTGGCCAGCAGCGGAGCAGGATCCGGAAGAGCACTGGGGGCAGCATTTTCCAGGAACTCGAACCACAGTTTCATCCTGAATACCCAGAAAAGGATAATCCATCAAAAGGAAGCATTAATAAAATCCATAAAAGTAGGAAAATTTTATTCATAGCCAACTGAAGCATGTGCCTCAAGCATCCATACACAGCAATTCCTCACATTTGGTATCTATTAGTAACCTAGTGCCTTGATAAAAATGAGCACTTTCAAGGTCAGTGTGACTATTAAGAAGTTTACACATTCATTAAGTCCCAGCCTCTTCTAAAAACAAACAAAAGCACAAATAATAACCATAACAATAATGATAGTACTTAGTATTTGCCTGGCATTGTTTTAAGTGCTTGACAAGGACCTTCTGAAGTAGATGCTCTTATTGCCACTATACAAACAAGAAAAATAGACACAGAGGTTATGTGACTCACCCAAGGTCATACGGCTGACCTGGCAGTAGTAAATGGTCAGTAGTGGAAACTCAGAGCACTGACCATAGCAACACCTAAGAGCACTTACACCCCTGCTGAGTTACCTTTAAATTCAAAGAGAAGGTATCCCTCATAGACTACTTCACTATTTTTTTGTATCTTTATGTGAACCCATCACTTAAATATGTGCATTAGGGAGGTCCTTAACATGAAAAGAAATTAATCTTATCTCTATATATCTGGGAATATGTCAGTGCTTATGCACCTCTAACACCCCACCCACAACCCCAGAATATCAGACCATTCTGTCTCCGCTGCCCTAAGAATTTTCACAGCAACAGGTTCCTCCTTAATGCCCAAAAGCCAGCTTCTCACTCTGTGTGGGAAGAGCTCAGGAGATTTATCTCAGTGATGCGGCAGATGCAATGGCGTGAGCACGCTCCGCCTATACAAGCTTCCTCGGCACACCAGGAAGTGGCATCGCCCGCCTGAGAAGACCCCCAGGAGCCCCTACATAGTACCCTGATCTTTCCTACTATTGGTTGCCCTATGGATGTTGTAAACTTCTGATTGGTCTGGAATGTTATATATACTGCTGCACTCACACAATAAAGTTGGATCTGCGTCACTGAACCGGTCCCCGGAGTCGGGCATGCTTCGTTAGGACTCCGTTCGGCCTCACCCCCCGCGGGACCCCCTGCTTCAACTCTGACTCATCACTACAGTCTTATTGATGGGCAGGAAGATAGACCAATTAAAGGCAGGGGAAGGAGGATTAGAACAAACCAAGTTTCAATGACTACGAAGTGGTAGATCTTATATAGAGAATACCTCATAACAGTTCTCTTCCTTCTCTTATTAGAAGCAGAAAATGAGATTTTATTACCATGGTTACTCTGGTGTTCATTCTGCAGGGAAAACAAGGTCAATGTACTGGGGGAGGAGAAGGGGCGGAGCTGCCAAATAACCTTAATTTTTCTTGGAAAATTCCAGTCATACTTCAGTAGTTCGTTTACCCCAATTATATATGATGAGTTAGATTAACATGTTGCTCTATAATAGGATCTATTTCAAACACCTGAATCACTGTAATTAAACTGACAACTTTTCTATACTTTAGGTTATTTTATTTCTTTCGATTCTATATGCAAAATATGATGACCATTGATGTTTAACAGAGCCTGTGAAAATTGGATATGGATTGAAATCACTGAGCATTTCTTGACTTAAGAACTCTTTAGTTTAATGACATTTCAGTGAGGAATAAAATAAAAGTTTATCTGATATCACAGTCTTCAATGTCTTCATTGAAGTAAACAAATGAACTTATACAACGCTAAGTAAACAGGGGACAAATGTCATGATCACAAATCTTGAGAAGAAATTGAGTTAGTATCAATCTATATTCACCAACCTGGACTAAACCCAAGTATAGCAGCAGAGTAAGCAGGAGAGTAGGGGAGGGAGGGCGGAGTTGCTGATATGGAGGTTGGTACAGGGAAAATCAAGCTTTCTGATTCTTACTGGCAATACCTAATTATGTAATTTGTTGACAGAAACAGACGCTTCCTTCACAAATACAGACCAACAAGGGCAGGAAGGAAAAGCATTTCAGGAGAAAATATCCCGGGATACCAGAGAACTCTATGATCAGAGGTGAGATCCAGCTGGGCTGAGGCTTCATAAGCCAGAGGACTGCAGAGGCAAGTAAGAAGGTGAGCAGCGAGGTGGGTCAGAGAAATGGGAATGGCTTTTTAACAAGCCTTTTGTTGCTATCACACACCTGGATCCTATCATTCTGGTCTTCGTAGATTTGCTCTTTCGAATGTACAGTTTAATACAGGGGCCAGCAAACTACGGGCCTTGAGCCAAATCCAGCCCACCACCTGTTCCACAAGTTCAGTTTTATTGGAACACAATGACATCCATTCATTTACACATTATCCGCAGCACATTCTGTGGTACAATGGCAGAGCTGAGTAGTTGTTTCAACTGAAATTTTTCACCATCTGCAAAAGTTTGCTAACCCTGGGTCTAATATATATATTACCCTCAGTTATCACAGGAGTCCAATGAAAATACATATGTATATGATTAATGTCATTATAACTTTGGTTCAAACTACCATTTAGGATATATTTTAAATAAAATATATCCCTAAATAAAAATACTTAAGATAAAGAAGTGTATAGTGTCATAGGCCTAACAGCTCTTGATAAAGTATTTTCCCACTATGACACTTCTGAAGATATAGAAAGAGATAAAACTTCCATCAACAAAAAGTAGAACAGCCAACCTCCTGTCATAGCCAAGAGGAAGTCCCATCGACCGACCAGAAGGCATCCTGTGGCCTTCCTTTGGTTTGTAAGCCTAAATAGGAATAAAAACTATCACGTCTTCCCAACTCTCTGCCTTCCTATATCAAATACAACATGACCTTCATCCCTCTGTTGTGTGGCTGCTGCAGTTTGAGGCAATCAGGGGGCCTCAATACCTTCTTTTCTACATCTAGTCAGAGCCCGTAAGTTTAAAAAAGGGTGGGGATTATGTGTGTTTGGAGGGTAGAGGGAGTGATGAAAAGCAGGGGTGGGGTGTGGAGGATGCCCCAAATGTAAAATATATAGTTTCTGAGAGAGATGGAAAGAGCCCCTTGCAACAGTTCAAACTGGGGATTATAGTTTTTGTTTCATGCATTCAGAATCTAAGAGGGTTGGACAGTGGGGTTAAGAGAATATTTGATCTCAGTACAATAGAGCTACACTACATGAAACTTGGCAGACCTCTGGACCAGGAGGACATGCACATTTCTTAGCATCTGGCTAAGGCTCTAAGAAGGGGAATTAGCCAGGGGCAGGCCTCTTATCCTTTCAGCTTTCAAGCAGTGGGTATGGGTAGATTTCTCTTGATCAAGGATGAGTAAACAGAAAGAAAGGAACTTGGGGAAAAACCTTGAAGAAAAAGTGAAAGGAATGACATTCTAAAGATTCAGAGAAAGAGCAGATTTCTGAACACTACATACTTTAAGATCCAAAAGAAAATATTTAAAAGCAGTTTTGCAACTTTAGTAAGATGTAAGAAAATGCAGTCTTTATTAAATACAAGTGGGAAGCAATAAAAAAGAATAAGCATTGGGATCAAAAAATAGATGAACCAACAATAGGAGAAATAAGGAAGAATCAAAAGAAAACTGATGTGAAATCTTCAAATTAAAATCAATACTACAGGTAGTAAATACAAACTCAAGAGGCTCTCTCCATAATGCAGGGGAAAGACAAAGAATGAAAAATGATGAGAAAGAATATGATTGATAATGAGGGGGAAGATAGGGAGCAATCTAAGAATCATAGGTGTTTCTGGAGGAATAGGGATAACTGGAAAGAATATGATTAATCAGAGCTGTAACCATAGAAAATATTTCAAAAACTAGAATACAGACTGAGAGGGCTTCACACTATTCTAGGCGAAATATGTGAAAAGACACCTCGCCTAGGAATGTCTGGGAAAATGTTTGAATTACAAAGATTAAAAAAAACAACCATCCTGCAAGAATCCAACAGAGTGAAACCACCTAAATAGAATGGAATAGAAAGCAGACAGACCTCCATGGCACTAAATTCCAGAATTCAATAGAAAGAAGACGAAAGGGCTGAGATGGAAAGAGAACATAATCATCCCAAATTTCAGACTCCACTCATTATCTTTTATCATTACAGACAACAAGAAAATGATTCTCAAATACTTAGTGGCTCAGAAAACAACGCATCTGAAGATGAAGTTCAGCCTACTCAGATTAATCAATTTTGGGAGCGAGGAAAAGATAGTATTTAAAAACGGTGGTAACATCATTAGGAACAACTCTGATCAGACCAAAGAGGAAATTTTAATGAGCCCACAAAAAATGTGGCCGGGTTAGAGCTCTTTTCATACGGCATTTGAACAACTGAGAGCGAGCAATTTCAGTATTTACATTCCTCACTAAGGGAACAACTCCTTATTTAAACATAAGACATTTCTCCTTCCAACAGGATTATCAGCAACTTATAAAATGTAATCATAACTAAGCAAACAAAGAAATGTATCCACATTTGCCTATCAAAAAATTGAAATGAGTTACTGAAAGGAATTTTTAGGGGTGAAATAGGCAGGTTTAGGAAATTTTTAAAAAATAAGGGGTCCCTGGAAAAAACACACAGGGCTACAGAGTTGTAAAAGGGTACATTTCCATAAGACAAGGGAACTAAGAGTAGCAAAAGGTACACATTTACAGAATAAAGGGAAGGAAACCCCTCATTCAAAGAACAAGGAAGGAACGCTCAGAGGAAACAGGAGAACAATAAGGGAGAAGAAGGAGGGACCCTCCCATACTTCACATGACACTTGAGCTCAGGAGTTGCTATAGTGACCAAATCAAAGGGGACCAATCAGGGGGGATATTGGGGCACAAAAAACTGCAGCCTTTAAAAACTGTAGGAAAAGGGATTCAGTGGGAGTCTTTCCCCCTCCCCACGTGGGAGTCTGTGCTTACTAGTATTTCTCAATAAATTTCCACCTTTGCTATACTACCTTTCATCCCTGGTTTCATTCTTTGACTCCAATGGACAAAGAGCCCTGGAAAACCATCCTGCCCAGGGGAACACCACGCATTCCAGTCCAAAGTTCTCGTTTCATTACCAAAAAATTCCTATAAGGGTCTTTTTAAATGATGAAAATTGTTGGGGTCCATCCCCAGCAGGTTCAGGGGTTCCCAAAGATGTGGACGGAATCGGCGAAGAATGAAGGACACAGAGGCAGCGTTCAATTGGACATCATAGCTAGGTTCTCTTTTTATTGTCCTGTTACATCTATATTTATACTATTTGATCCTATAAGCATGCATCTATAATTACATCATGGTATGTTTTGGGTAACATTCTACAGTTCCTTGTTTCTTATCTGACCTTAGCCAAAAATCCTGTCTCTATCTAGTTCTGTTGATTTTAATCTTGTCTAGGTTAATCTCTGTGTTCCATTACAAGGGCTATTCCAAGGTCACTATTCTATTGCTCTACTGATAAGCTACAAGGAAGTGACAGAAGGAGTTTAGCCTACCCAGTAAAGGTTATGTCCTCTCAGCCTCGCTGCTTGCCTTCCCTGGGACTGCCCTATGTCGGTGGATCTCCAGGGGTATAGGCTTTGGTGCTTTCCCTGGTGGGCAGACCCCTGGGGATGTGGGCCCAACAAGTCCCAAATTTATTGCCAACAGTCTTAGTCCAAGTTCTTCATAAGTAGTACAAGGTATTTCTGTAACACTAGGGGGATTTACTGATTTATTCTCTTCCTTAGTCCTGTTAATCCCTAATCTGGGGAAACAACCTTTCTCGGGGAGGTGGACCTTGTTATGCCCAGATTTCAGGATCCCCAAGAAACCACATCAGGGAGCCAGCCAGTCCGATGCAAAAGCATAAGAGTCTTTTTTCGAGCTAGCTCGGCTCCCCCACCTTGCCGACGCAGCGACAGGAAGCAGAGAGAGAGAGAATTCTGTGTGGAGAGGGGTTATATAGGGGGAGTTGGAGTAAGGGGAGGAGAAAGGACTGTGCTCTGCCGATTGGCCAGGCACAAGTTGGTGTCTTGTTCCTGGGTGTGGCTAGCAGAGGCTTAGACTTCCGGGAAGAAGCTCCTTGCCAAGCACGTGGCCAAGGTAAGATGGAGCACTTACCCTGGGGCAAGATGGAGGGCGTAGCCCTTACCCTGGGGCAAGGTGGAGGGCCTAGCCCTTACCCTGGGGCAAGGTGGAGGGCCTAGCCCTTACCCTGGGGCAAGGTGGAGGGCCTAGCCCTCGCCCTTTCAGACCTGTTTAAAACACATAGTGCTAAGAGGGGGAGCAAACGATATTAAGAACAGTATGCCAGGTCCCTTGAAACATAAGCTGTGCAGATGTTTCTTCCCTGTAGCAACTGTGTCAAGCAGCAAGGGTGGACCGGCTTCCGGCAAATTCCCCCATTTTTATTTTTTAAATGACAGCACGTGTAAATCAGCAGCCACCTCTCGGATTGGGTTGTTTAAGACTCAGAAGACCTGTTTGTGACTTTGCCAACAGGTCAGTCCGAGGCTTAACCCTATATTGGCTCCCCACAGAAAATATGGAGGATCACTTTCTTTCCTGCTTTTCTGTGTTTGCCAAACTTTCCTTAATGAATACAAATTATTTTTATAATTAAAAAACCTTATATTAAAATTTAAATTTTTCTAGAGCTCAAGACCTGGAAATACATTTCTTCTACTGAACTTGTGGGTTTTTTAAAATATTCTTAAAAAATATTTAGAGTTAATATATAAAAGAATGATGATGTAGAACTGCCTAAGCTAGAAGCACTGACACTTTCTAACTCTGGTACCTTGAGCAAACTACTTACTTCTCAGTGCCTCAGTTTTATCTACTCTAAAATGGGATAATAAAATTCCTACTTCTTAGGGTTGTTCTGAGGATTAATTAAAGCTCTCAAAACAAATTGTTGGTACATAATAAATGCCCAGCATGTGGTGATGATAGATGGTGGTGGTGATAATGTTTCTATCAAAAGTGCTAATTCTACAGCATCTCTTTACATCATCAGAACACCCAATATTTAATACTGATATTAAATAAAAAATAGTTCTAAATAATCTGACAGTTGGCTTTTTAAAAATTATGTCATGACAAAAATGTAGACTTAATAATGCAAGAGGGATGAAAATCAACCTATTTCTAACACTTCAGAATGGTTGCACATCAATTAACTCTAAATTATGCTACCAAACACCCAATGGGGTGTTTCCTCCATCCCTTCTCCCACCTCCTTAATTGCATTGGCAGCAAACTGCTTAATTATCCTTTATTCAGGAGGGGACTGAGACCTGGAATGTGTAAATCAAAATACCTCAACACTACAGTGTCCTCCGAATGTAAGATATTGTACATCTCTACCAAGAAGCTCATTTGTAATCTTAAAGCTAGGACAGACTTTGTGATGAATTAAGAGATGTGTCGTGAGCGTAGTTGGGTGTATTGTGGGTAATACAATCTAGTATTTCAATTAGATACATTTTCCTTTTATTCGGCATTTAGTACTTCTTGTCTAATTGCCTTTTGTCTGCCTTTAAAAATATTGCCCAATTGTCACAATATGCCATGTTATTGATTTTGTTTTATTTGACACAAAGTACTGCTCTGTATCAACTGAATGTTGGCTTCCAGCTTTTCCCTAGATCAAAAAAATGAGCTATTTTTTTCACTACAAGCAAACTCTTTTCGTGGTTATCAGTCAACTGCCAAGAAATCTCCGTGGGAGCCTCTGGAAGAGTAAAAAACTATACAATACCATGTGTACATTTATTTGCAATTGATTTTCTGTTTTAAATTGTGTGACAAGCCTAATGTTTTGAAAATCAGATCAGCTTTAAAAGAACAGTAAAATCCCACTATTTTAAACCACCCAGAGAAGATCCTTTGATAATTTGAAGCATTATCTTATAAGAATTAAATAGTGTACGGCTGAATAATCATGTCTAAAGACACATATATGTCTTCAAAAAGCGGCATATACCTTTGCATTGTCCGACAGTAACAAATCTGATCAATATTACTGAATTTTCCAGATGTTGAGCTTGATATTTTTGGAACATCTGCAACTGGGGTGGGCAGCTTCCTTTTGTTCACCCTCCAGGCTCAGTTTCATAATGTAACAATTAGCCTAAATGGCTGGTGATTAGACTAACTGTAGCCTCTCAGGGTAAAATCAGGGTCTCAGCAGTGGTCTCCAAAAGTATAAGGGAAACAAAACAGCCTTGGCTCCTTGTTCCTAAACTTCCGTGGTGGCCTGACATAATCTCAGAAGGGACTCCAAGTCCTGCACAGTGAAGTTAACAGTCTGGGAAGGATCCATTCTGAGGCTGTCTCCCTTACCTTATTACAAAACAGAGGCTGACATTGAGCCGTGAAGCACTGGGTGACCCCATTTCTACACATGCATTTGGCACATGAACTCAGTGGCCAGTCCTCCCCATCCTGAAACACATGGCCTTCGTAGGAACAGGACTCTGGAAGGTCAGAGAAAGAAAAATTACTGGGACGATTGCACTTGCTGATCCCAGGGCTGACGCATGGGTGTGTGGCCAGTGCAATCACATGGGGTCCCATGTTGGGCCCCAGTACAAAGAAGGGCGCCCCATTCTTAGGGTTTAATGCTTTGCAGTCATTGTACGGAGTTCTTAATAACTCTCCATTTGTAAGGGAAGTTCAATAAACATGCACTGTGGTTCAGGGTCTCAGCTGGTGCACAGTCCCACCTCCCGCTTCCTCTTTGCCTTTTTGGGATGAGCTCTCCACCTCCTGCTCCAAAACCTGCCGCCCTCCACCACCCAGGGGTCTGGATGTGGTGCCAGGGGAGTACATGTGTCCTAAGCACCAAGTAGCAGGGTGGGGTCCTGGGAGCCCATGGAGGACTCCACCCACCCAGCAAGTATCTCCACACCTGAGGGAATATGATATAAAATAGCAAGTTGAAAACAGGACAGGTTGAAAAGTCCACAAAAGGAAAGAAAAAGCATCCCCCACACCCCTGGCTTTTTGCACACCACCCCACAAATTATGGAGTTGGCCCTGGCTGATCCTCCAGTCTCTCCAGACAAAATGCTTCTAATGAGTCTTTCTCATGGAGGCCAGCAAGAAAGCCTCCTAAAACACGAGCCAGGACCCCACAGACTCACACTGCCCACTCTCCACTCCACCCCTAAACCTGTGGGGTTCAAGCATTTTTATTTGCAGGGTAATTTGACTTAAAGCAGCTGCCAGTCCCTTTCTGGTGAGTGAATCAGAAAGGCACGAGGCAAGCATTCTACTTCCATCATTTCTTCACATGCTATTTAATCCCTGGAATGGTTCTCCAGGGGAAGAGCTGGCCAGAAATGGAATAATTGGGGATCAGAAAGAAACCAGGGGTCTTTTTAAAGGGAAAAGACAAGAAGAGTAGAGCTTCCAGGTGCCATTAAGTTAAAAAAAAAAGAGAGAAAGAAAGAAAAATTAGCTATTACTTGCCAGGAAAGAGCATAATGCAGCCATGACAACAATTCACATTGATTGTGAAGGAAGGGGACATATATCCGTAAATGTAATAAAAGTGGTACTTGGACCAGGAGTGAATTCCAAGGAGAGGGCCTGGCAGTGTGCTGCTGGCCTGCCGAACTGTGCCTTGGTTTGGAGGCAGGCATGATCTCCACAGCGAAGATGCAATAAAAACAGATGAAATACCTGCTTCCTGCTCTGTGTGTCTTGGAGAAAAATGTTATGCCATCTCAAAGACCAGCCAGCAGAATTAGTGCCAGTGATACCACATTCAGAGAGATTTGTTCGTTCTCCTCTCAGCCAGGAGCCGAGAGGAACTACCTTGGCCTTATGGAATCACATCAAAGGATCTTGTCCCTCCTTCCTTTCCTTCTCAGGAGCTATGAATGCAGAGGGATGCATCTGGCCATGGCAAAATAGGTAAATCAGGGACTTGCAGAATGCTATGTTTGGGAGGAAGCTTAAAGATTTGTTCCAACCTCACTCTTTGCAACATCCCTTCCTGCCAAGTGCAAGGCTCCATCTTGTTCCAATAAGAAATGGGGTTGGGAATCTTTGAACCACATTGAACGTGAAAGAGAAGAGTTGGGGTGTCACTGGGTGAACCTCAAAGGCAAAGCGGATCTCTTTTTACAAGCTCATACTCACTCCCAGGGCCCACACAGATGGGGCAGCAGCTTCCTTCAGGGATGAATTCCAGCTCCTGGTGTCCACACAACAGCGGTGGGCATGGTTGGGGACTACATCGGACTTCTCCGTGAGCGCAGGAGCACACACTACACAGGGAGGAGGCCCACTCTGTCCCATGCTGAGTCAGGGGGGGAAAAGAAAAAGAAGGTTATTGCTAGAATATACGTTTTCATTTGGCCAAACACAAACCAACTTTTTTAAATGAAGAATGGAGCCCAGGAAAGATGGAAGAAGGCTCTAAGCTTGCAAGATTAAGACCAGGGTTTGCAGTGTCCCAAGTCTAAAAACTAGCTTTTATTTTATTATCCCTAAGATTATATTTGAAATTTTCAGAAAAGCACAAAAAGGAAATAAAAATTACCCCAATCCCATCACTTAAAAAAATTCTATAAAGCCCAGAGTAAAATTCACACACTTACACATACAACTACTGAATATTTTATAATGATTATATTGTTTTCAATAGCTTTCTCAATTCTTTCTCTCCCTCAGCTCACCTTCCCTCTCTTCCTCCCTCCGTGACCCTCTCTCCTTTCTTCCAATGACCTCATGGTCCTGGGGAAAGGGTGACAGCCAGCAGGAGGCACCTGCTCCATCCAGTTCTCACACAAACTGCAGAGTCCACTCGTTCCCTGGGAGAGTGCCCATCGACACTTAGAGAACGCTCCCAGTCCACTTTAGACTGGGATACAGCATTCCCAGAGCTAGCGCTGTCTCAGTGATCTAACAGCCCTGTTTGTGTTACCATGTGATTTACTGAGTACCCAAAATATCTAAAGGGGCCACTCTCAGGTGTGATGCAGAGTAAGAGGAGGTGAACCCTAAATGTAAAAAGCTACAAATATGTTGATGGCTTAGGGAAGTAGCTGTCAAAATATGTTCTCACGGGCAGAATGAAATAATGGTGGCCTTTTACAAGATGTAGGGGAAAAAATTAGCTTAATGAATGAAGTTTTCCTCCTATAAGGTTTTCTTTAATACTGGAACCTCCTTTCTTTTGCCTCTGTTAATGTAGTATAGACTTCTATTAAAAAACATCACACATTCCCGGTGCTCAATCACCTAATGTAATCTGGGGATTACAACTGTGTCACTGAGAAGCATAGAAAATGAAGTCCTTTTGCTTCTGCACAAGCCAGCATCCAGCATAATCATTCATCTCTCTCAAACACAAAAGAACTCTGTCTTATCTAAGCAAGTCAGTACCTCTTTATTCGGCAAATGGCTGCAACATTGCAAGCACTGCCAATCTTTCACTTTGGAATTACTAATAACCTGTGCTATTATTGTAGCCATGATAATAATAGGTAGTCACAGTCATTTAATTATTTGGGAATCAAGCCCTCACCTCACTGTCATGAAGGTTTCTGTCCTCTAGGTGGCCTTACCGGGAGCACAAGGGGCAGCAATGCAAGTCATGTGCTGAGTCCGACAAACCAAGGATTTCCTGGGATGCGTGTGTGTTCTGGAATCCCAGCTCAGCCCAGTCTGCTTTGGGGACTATGGGTCAGTGACTTAATCTTCCTAAATCTCAGTTTCCAGATAGCTGATTAAAGAGCCAACAAGAGGGGGTGGCAGGTAGAAGGTGCGCAATTCTCTCCCCGATTTCCCCGGCATGAGTTCCTGGCCTCCCTCCCCATGTTCACACCGACGTGCCAGCTGTGGTTGTGGGAATGGACATGCATGCCCAGACCAAGTCCTCTCCCATCAATTTTCACTTCTGCTATAATTAAACACAAAATTTCAAATGTAGTACAGCATGAGATGGGCAAGCCCACAACTTGCTGATAGGCCTAAGCATAAAAGCTAAGCACGACATTTCAAGAGAAAAATTGACAGGTCCTGGTGAGATAAAATTTTAAAAGTCTGTCAAAAATACATTCTAAACAACTTAAAAGGCAGTGACAAACTGATTTAAAGATTGCAAATTATATTAATTTTAAAAAATTGACATCTAAAAGTACTGACAATAGGAAAAAATCTCAATGGAAAAAAATGGCAATAAGCTTATAGAATATTCAACTTAATTGCAAAGAAATATTAATGAAAATAAAATTGGATATTATTTAAAATCATGTAAGGGAAGAGTTAAAATTCATAGTAGCGCCCTAACTGGTTTGGCTCAGTGGATACAGTGTCGACCAGCGGACTGAAAGGTCCCAGGTTCGATTCTGGTCAAGGGCATGTACCTTGGTTGCGGGCACATCCCCAGTAGGGGGGTGTGCAGGAGGCAGCTGATCAATGTTTCTCTCTCATCAATGTTTCTAACTCTCTATCCTTCTCCCTTCCTCTCTGTAAAAAATCAATAAAATATGTTTTTTAAAAAAATTCACAGTAGTTAGTGATAGAAGCTGCAGTGGAGGGCATTCCCACCCCCCCACCCCCCAGCCTTCCTCACTGTAGCATGGGAATAACTCAGCCAGGTGGGGCCTGTGCTCTCTGTGATGTCCTCACTGGGTTTATCATTAGACACAGATGATTTAAAATGCATTTAATAACGACCATAGATGTTACAGCCTCAATACTCAAAACCTTTAGATGCTCTGACCTACTGATTTCACTTTTAAGAAGTTATTTTTAAAAAAAATGATCACTGAAACACATAAAAGTTTAAATACAAGAAATTCCATTTCACTGTTCTTTATAGTAAAATTAGAAATATTTTAGTGAAAACTGGAAGCTACCCAAATGCCTAATAATGGAAATTATTGGAAATCATGCTCTCCAAGAATATGCTAGGGAACTATTTAAACATAATATTATATTAAAAAAAGCAAGATATAAACTGTGTACACAGTATAATTACAACTATTTAAGCCCTATGTCTCTATCTATCCATCTATCTATCTCAGTATCCACCCATCACCACTGCCACCCCCTCTCCAAAAAACTGAAAGAACCGTAACGGTGGTTTTTAGAGTTTGGGGATTGGTAGTGGTTGTTTTCCTCTGCTTTTGTATGCTTCTCTATTTTCCAAATTTTCATCAATAAACATTTTTACTTTTGTCATCAGAGAGCAAATTACTGTTTAAAATATATAATGGATCATTTATATATCTTAAGTAAAGTAAAATTTGAAGGCTGCATATAAAACAACTTAAAGTGAACTTCTTTATTACAAATTAGGAGATTGCTTCTAAACATCTAGTCATTTCACTTCATTAAAACAAGAGCATGATTTCTTTACTACTCAGAAACACTGTCATTTCTGAAACATTTGCAATCACACCACCTTTCAGAGAGAGACCACAAAAATTAATTATAACAACAATCTGTCAATCACCAGAAGAGTTTCATCTGTGAAGTGAGAGGGCTGTGTTCGCTAATCTCTCCAGCACTTTCAAACTCTCTAATGATGTAAATCTATTATCTAACTCAAGAGACATAAAACTAAGCAGGGGATTCCCTCTTCACAATAAGCGGGAGAACTATGGGAATAACATGGAACGTTCAGCAGGAAAACGGTGTGAAAGCCACAGAATAAGCGCCAGAGGGTGACCCAAAGTGCACAGAGAAAAGGAATTACTCCCATCTGTCACTCAGGGTCAAGTCACAGAAGTCCCCTCCTTTCCATCGCTTACTCCTGTCCCTAAGGCAGTGAACCTCTCTCACCGAAGGGAGATTAGGGATCAAGGGGTTCATCACGTGCTAATAGATATGGATGGATAGATAGATAGACAGATAGATGGATGGATGATAGATACTATAGACACGTAGATATAATTTCAGTGCTCTAATACCTATTTACAAAAGCCTTATTTATTTTATGGGCACCTGTAGCAACAAAGAGAGCTTTGTAAAATCAAGGAGTAACAGCTATCCAATGCCACCCACCCGAAAGACCTGGGTTTATCTGTGCCATCTTAACCTCATGGATACTTTTAGAAAACATGAGTTTTTGACACTGGGAGAAAAGCATTCTGCAGACATCTTAAATATATTCTTCTGTAAATCCTCACCCGAGGATTTTTTCCATTGATTTCAAGAGAGAGTTGAAGGGAATGGGGGCGATGGGAGGCGCAGAGAGAAACATGGACATGAGAGAGACACATTAATTGGTTGCCTCCCCCAAGGGCCCCTACTGGAGCTGGGGAACCTGCAACCAAATTACGTGCCCTTGTCCGGGGAATCAAACCTGCAACCCTTTGGTCCACAGGCCGATGCTCTAACCACTGCGCAACGGCCAAGGCTTAAATATATTCTTATGCACAGCCAACCAACAAGTCAGCTTGGCTGTTGATATAATTCCAAAGAAAAGATAAGGTCGTAAAGTATTTGCCTCACTTACTGTCAGAGCAACAAAATAATTTTTCTTCCTATAATTTGTTCCCGTTATGAAGTTAGAGAGGTAGAATACTAAATATCTGGCAATGTTCAGTGCATATTATAATTACATCCTCTAGGTTGAGAAGAACAAGGCTGCAGAATTCAATACTCATTTCTTCCCCCTCACACATAAATTAGTTCTCCTTTTAGCCTCAGAACAGGCAACGTGAACAAACCTCTCCCTCCGCGCTCCTCTATTCAGTCCTATGTGGGCACCAGGGCGTTACCACCTGCCACTTCCTTTTTTTAGTGAATCTTCAAGCATTATTTTTCTCTGACATGATATTATCTGGTGCTGGTATAAATTAGTGCAGAGGAGAAGAAAGGGGATTAATGGTCCTTTCCCCTCTCTTTCACAAGCTAATTTGTGGGGAAAAGAACAGGGGGAAAGCATTCCGGCACTCTTTAGGAAAACATATTTCAGGCTTGTCTCCCTGTCTGGTTGGCAAGGCTGGGCAGAGATCCAAATGCTAATTTGAAGATAGCTTTGGGGAGGTCATGGATGAAACAGTCCCCCAAATGCTGGCGGTAATAAGCCCACGTAAAACTGTCAAATCACCTGCAGTCAGCCACAAGGCTCAAGTGTTTTTCTCCCTCCAGGGAAAGTGTTGGGACTCGTCTGGACTTGCTGGAATGCCAGTTGTATAAGATGCTGCTGCCCTGCAGGCAACGGAGGTTCTCTAGAGGAGGCGAGGCTGCTCACTCAGAGCAGGGCCTCTTGCTGCCCTGAGCTCTACCACCCCTGACTTTCCTTCGTTTCAACCCTGTTCTCTGGAGACATTTCCACTGGTTCCCCTCCTGCCACACTCTATCCTAAAGCTTCTTCTAAATCTCTCTTAGGGGAAAGCTTTTACCACAGATCACAGTTCCTAAGTTCCTAAAACACCAGGCTATTTTATAGCTCCTGGGAGCGAGTCTCCATAGCCTGCCCCATGGGATGCAAGTCAGAGGCTAGAGAGGAAAGTGCTCTGGAAACTGCTTACCAACAAGCTGAATGGGGTGGGGGGTGGGGGATGGGGGATGGGGACGGGGGTGGGGTGAGGAGTGAGGGGGAAAGGCTCCAAGATTCAAGGGGGAAAATCACCTGTGATGCACGTGTAAGGTGAGACTCAGAGCAAACCCAGAAAGGCATTTAACCCACACAAGAAGATAAACACTATTAAGAAGGATGTGGCAACAATCTAGAGGAAGTGAAGAAAGAAAGAGAGGAAGGAAGAACAGGAAGACTAGAAACATGAGCATTTTAACTTTATTAAGACTAAAATTAGGAGACTCTGTCTTGACTTAAAAATAAATCATTCTTCCATCTCTATTTGAAGAAGTAGAGATTTTTTCCCCCTTAAACTACAGTTCCTTAAATACAGCCCTTTTCTCAGCTACATCAGTACCAGAAATATAATTATAGCATTTTCTGAGGGAGTGTATTTTGAAAGTTGCATATGGAAAAGGGCATGTGGATATGTTCTGACCCAGTTTAGAGCTTTCCGCGTGATGTGTTATAGTGGAAGGGGTAAACCGCGAGGGAGGAGGGCAGAAGGAAGACTTTCTGAACTCTCCCAGAAAAAGTAGGCCAAGCGGATCTCCCACTAACCTATCAGCAGGTCTGCGGTCCAATGACCAATATGCCCTGGGACAAGTACATGGATGAGCTGAAAGAGATGTACCCATTGTCTGAGTCCTCCCGTCATCAATGTTTATTGAGCACCTACTCTGGGAGAAGTTCAGTGCTAAGTGCCAGGTTAGGTGGGATGCAAGGAGGATCACTCTAAAGATATAGAAAATGTCAGTGTTCTCAGGCCCCTTACATCAAGATAGGAAGCCTGCACATGTGCACAAACGTCACATGAGAGAGCAAAATGCTAAGTGTCAGCAGAGTGGTCCATGCGAAGAGTTAACGAACTCTGTTTTCCCATGTCCCTGGTACCAGCTCTTATTTGAGACGTCTAATGTTCCCCAGTTCCTGATCTTATTTTGACCCTATGCGCTCCTTCCCTTGAATGATTTAGCTTGGTGTTTTGACCTTGAACCACCCACCTAATACAATCGTTATGAAAAGGCATTATTTCCATCACCGGTCCGTCCTGCAACACCTTCCGTTTCACATGGATCCTCTTCCGTGGAGGGCAAACCTTACATCACCCAACATAACACAGACTGAATCGAGCAGCACAGAGGATATGCGCTATGAAGACATTCCCAACATAGATCCTGCCTGGCTGCCTTTCAGCAGCACATTGTGCAGACGTGAAAGAGTGGCTTCCTCAGGTAAGTCAGAGACAGTGGCTCAGGGGAGATGATCCCGTCCCACGGGGACAGTGCATTGTCCGTGCCGAGTTTTAGGTCCGCACACTGAATAGCAGCCGAGAGTGGATATTATCAAATCCTGTTAACCTCCGCTCTCTCCTGAATGGGTGGAGGCACTAACTTGGAGAAAGTTTTGTATCAGGTGGAAGATGAGGATTAAAGCAAAGAGCTTCTTTCCATCACATTCAACTTCACCTGCTGCCTCTGGGTAACATTTAGGTATGAGGAAAGATGGACTAACTGTAACCATTCCATTTTCATAACTTCTATTATAAACCTGGCAGTGGTACTTCTAAATCAGCATTTAGTAGCTCAAAATTAATCCCAAATGATCTGAAATGAGAAAGTGTAATAAAGGAATTTTAGGACCAATTTCTAGTACTGTGATTCTAAACGGGGGTAGCTGAGGATTTTGCCCCTTTGGGGGAATTTGGCCATGCATGCAGACATTTCTGGTCATTAGACTGGGGGCGGGGGTACCGCTAGCATCTAGTGTGTAGAGGCCAGGGATGCTGCTAAATTTCTTACAGTGCTTAGGACAGCCCCCACAACAAAGCTTAAAATGTCAATAGTCCTCAGGTTTAGAAACTCTCCCCTAAGGGAAAGAAGACCAGGGTTCTAGGTCAGGTTATCCCACTTATTAGCAATACCGCATTGAGCAAGTACTTAAGCTCTTTGCAATGCAAGTGTTTCATCTTTAACACTGGAATAATAATATCTGCTCTACTCACCACTCAAATGAAAAAATGGTATGTGGTATATAAAACCGAGTTGGCACTTTTATTATTTAGCATCACAACTTCTTCAGCATCAACATTCTCAGACTACTCTTTACACAAACACAAATTCAATCTATGCATATTTACATAGGGTCTATGGAATAAATAGGGCAGTTTTAATCTTATTCAAGAAACCCAAATGCCTGTGGAAAGTCAAATGAGCTTCCGGTCCTCCAGAGCCCAGACAAAGGAAAAAAACACCTCTCTTGTCAACACAAGGTTAGCATTCAGCCTCCCCTTGTCAATGATCTACAGACAGAGAATCACCTCTGGGTCAGAAAACACTTACCGCATAGATTTTCTTTTCGTGATGGCAAGACCCACGAGTCGTGGACACACACTCGGGGCAGCACTGGTTGGCGGCTATCTGAAGCACTTCTCCCTGCGCATTTAAAAACAGCTCAGTGTTAAACAGTGGCAGCACTCACAATGGTTCTTTGCACCTTAGCCATCTCCGATGCACTTAATCTCATAAGTTTCCACGGGTGACAATAATAGACAGGATAAACCAAATAAACAAACAAAAGGAATTCTCTCTGTCAAGACGAGCTTCGTCAAAGATAAAATGAACCCCTTTGTGGAAGCAATTTCCTTGGAAATTGTCTACATCTTTTCACATCTAACGAAGTGAAGAATTTTGTTCACTAGAAATGCTTCATCTGAGTTCACATAAGAAAAGCAGAGAGGGTGAGAGAAGAACTGTATCTTGACCTGGGTAGGGGTGAGGAGTGGCCACAGAGCTGGTGGCCCCAGGTCTTCCAGATCTCCTAGAGAGGTCAGATGCAATCAGCCTCTGGCGGGGGTGGGGGGGGTGCTGAGATTCTGAGGTTCACTTTTACCAGGGACTCGGACAGCAAGGCAATACTGAAGGACAAAGCTGGGAGAGGAAACAGCATTGTTGAGGTATCATGTGTACTGTGGAGAGCTGGTAGAATTGATGGGCTCCAGGAAAGACCTACATTGCTTTTCAAGGCTTCCATAATGGCAATTGTGTTTCCTAACAAGATGTGATACTATCAAGGGAATGTGCTACCAGGAGACACCCCAGGAGTTATTGGGAAGTTGTCACATTAACTAACCATCCATTTGCCACTGTGAGTAATCCATTTATCTAAGAGTTATTAAAACTATGGTGCAAAGAGCTTATGTTTGTCTTTGTGGCCAGTGAGTCTCCTGTTCAATCCTCTGCTTTGTCTTGTTCCTCCACTACATATATCTTAGTGTTTCCTCAATCTTGAGATGTGGCAGAACAGGCAATGAGTGATTTCAGGCAAAAATGTTAGGAGGTCCTACATCAGCCAGGAAATCATAACTGTTCACAGAATAAAAGTCTACAAAGAATTTAGCTGCTAGAATGAAAAAAAAAGTGTGTGTGTGTGTGTGTGTGTGTGTGTGTGTGTGTGTTCATGTTTCCTTGTTATTTGGGGCCGCTTCTATTTAAAAAATTGAGCATACAAGAAAATTACAATTTTATATAACTACATTCACAAGAGTGGGTGAGCAATGGGACTAAGATGATCAATCCATAAAGCAGATAAATACACCAGTAACAGTAATCAACAAATTCTTCCTACTTGCTTGATAAAGGATAAACATAAGATATGGGATTTTATAAAATTCTACATACTATGCAATGTTAATGACTTTCCAGAGAAGTATCCTCTGAACCCCAAGAGAAACGACACTTGTATAGTTCCCACTAAGATAGTCAAATGTGGAAACTACATTAGCCTAATTTGCACTAAGAATTTCATATAAATAGAAAATGAGATAAACCAAGTGTTTATATTCTAATATGGAAACAGAGAGCAAGGGGAACAAGCAGGTAGAATGGGAGATTTCAAGGGATATTATATGCCCCCATGTTAGTTTTCTTTGTTTTACATAAAAACTGATTTTCAGGTATAGCCCTCAAACCTCATTTCATAAATATACAATCCCTTATTTATGAGTGGCAATGAGGGGTTTCCGTCTTGAGTCTATCTATTGAACTTCTGGTTGAACATGAAAGATGATTTGGAGCTAATGGAAGAGCAAAATAATTTGCATGTGGGTGCTTAGAGAAGGGGAGACAGGGAGTTCTTGCTACCTCACTGTGAAACCTTGCACAGCTGTGTGAGCTGTGGGCTACATGGAACACGTAAGCCTATTGCCCTCCAGGCTTTGCACTGCGGAGCACTGGGAAGTGGCCACATGGGCAAGACATCAATGAAGATCGCTAGGGGAGCTGGGCAAGATTACCTGTGTAGGATCTAGAAGAACCAACTAACAATAATTATGATGATAATTTGATAATTATAGCTAACACTTAGTGAGTACTTAAAATAGCCAGGTATGCAAAAGGAGGTTTACAGTTGTTCATACAGAAAAATATATAATACAAGAATCCTATATAGTAAAAGCCTAATATGCAAATCAACTGAATGGTGGAACGACTGGCTGAATAACTGGTCACTATGACATGCACTGGCCACCAGGGGGCACACGCTCAATGCAGGAGCTTCCCCCAGCCCACAGGCCCTAGGCCAGTCAAGGCAGGTGCCAGCAGGGGCCCCCCCATCACCCTACTGGTCACCCCACAGATTGGCCCTGATCGCCAGCCAGGCCTAGGGACCCTACCCATGCACAAATTTTGTGCACTGGGCCTCTAGGAAATAATAATAGAAGATACACTCTGTGTTTCATGCACTCACAACTGTAAACCTACTATTGCCCACCATACATGTACACATATATGTGTGTATGTGTATATATATGTATATATGTACATATGTGTATGTATATGTATATGTGTGTATGTGTGTGTGTATATATATATTTATTTATTTATTTATTTATTTTTTTTAATTCTCACAACAACTTGATTAGGTAAATACTATTATCTGCATTGAACTTTGCAGCTGAAACCCCACTCCATGTACTAATACAGTTGTTCCTTTGCATGGCATTGTCCTCTATACCTAGATATTCTCCAGAAATCCTTAAGAGGATTTGTTCTGACAGGACTGGTTCCTAACTGCCTGTTTTTATTAATTTGGGGGGGGGGGGGAGGGAAAGAGGGAAAGAGAGAGGGAGAGAGGGAGAGAGAAACATGAATGTGAGAGATGTTGCCTCCCATAAGCACCTTGACTGGGGATCGAACCCACAACCTAGGTATGTGCCCTGACCAGGAATAGAACCCACAACCTTTTGGTGTACGGGACAACACTACAATAAATCGAGCCACCTGGCCAGGGTTACCTTTTACCTGCTGATCGTGTCTTTCTAATCTTCCTAGGTTCACCTCCCTTAAATGTTTGTGTTCCCCAAATTCCATCCTTGGCCTTGTACTTTTTTCCCCCACACAATCTCTTTGGATGATCTCATTAATTCTAAAAGTTTGCACTACTATCTATATATTAATCATATCCACATACTACCTCCAACCCTATCTTCTCCTCTGAGATTTAGACTCATACCCAGCTGTCTTTATGAAATATCCACGTGGTGTTTCCATGGACACTTCAAACTCAAGGTGCCCCAAACTGAAATCATCATTTCCCTCCCAGATGGGATGCTTTCCTTCACTCTCCTATATTCTCAATATCAGATGATGGCTCAGCTAACCAACTAGTCATCAAGTCATAAATATGGGAGTCATCTCTCTGTTTCCTTTCCCTCACCCTCCTACTTTCACCCAGTCCTGCTGATTTATCACCTAAATATTTCTTGAGCCTGCCCTTTCCTCTTGCTCCCGACACTACCACTGTTCCCGATTTAAGTACTCTCCCTCTCATCTGAATTAATCTCACAACCTCTGAACTCATCTCCTCATATCTAACATTATGTATTATTTTCTAAAAGCCAGAGAGAGATTTCTAAAAGAAAAGCTGGCTATTTACCCATATGCCTAAAACCTTCATTAGTATTTAATCATCTTAAAAATAAAATTCTAAGCTTCAGAGTACACCATACAAGGCTCTCCATAACCTTAACTTACCAACTCTCTGGCCCCATCTCTAATTCGTTCATATGGTCAGTCAAATAATATTTAGTGATGCCTACCATGTGTCAGTTGCTATTGTAGGTGTTGAGGATATACAGTGGACAAAAGAGACACTAAACAAGAATGGTAAGTAAAATATAGAGTATGTCAGAAAGTAGTGAATGCCAAGAAAACTAAAGCATGAAAAAGGGTTAAGAAAGGTGTGATATGGGATGGAGGATTGCAACTTTAAATAGAAAGATATTCAGGCAAAACATAAAGGAAGTAAAAGATCAAGGCATATATATATATCAATCTCTGTAGGAACAACAGAGCAAAGGCCCTTTGGCATAAGTGTGCCTGGCATAGCCACTCAACAGCAAGCAGGCATGATGTCTAAAGCAGAGAGAGCAAGGGAGAGAAGAGTTGGTTAATTAATAGGGTGCAATAGCACCTTAAAGGACACTGTGAAGAGTTACTGTGAGAAGAGAAGCCATTGGAAGCCACTGGAGGGGTTTAAGGAAAGAAGCAACATGATCTGACTTCAATTTTGGTAGGATCACCCTGGCTACTATATCAAGATTACAGTGAAATAGGCAAGTACAGAAACAGTGAAACAAGTTAAGAGGTTAGTGTGAGAATGAAGCAAACGATGATAACAGTAAGAGCAGAGAAAGAGCAGAGAAGCCCATGTGGAATGTCCTGTTTCATGAAGAGCTGGCAGGTCTGCTAATGATGTGGGATGTGGGAGAAAGTAGGGAGCTAAGGATGATGCTGTTTGCTGGCCTGAGGAAGTGGACGAAGGGAGCTGCCCTTTACTGAAATGGGAAAAAATAGGAGAGGAACAAATGAGGAAGGCATAAAATCACATTTGGTATAGAACAAGGGTCAGAACTTTTGTCTGCAAAATATTTTTGCCTTTGATCTACATCATAACTACACAACTCATCACTATAATGCAGTCATGGCAATATGTAAATAGATGAGTCTGTCTGTGTTTCAATAAAACTTTATTCATGGACACTAAAACTTGATTTCATGTAATTTTCACATCGTGAAATATTGCTCTCTGTTGATCTTTTCCAACCATTTCAAAATGCAAAAATTATTGTTTGTTTGCAGTCACAGAGGCTAGATTCTGTTGGTGGTCCCCTGGTATAGAACACATTTAGTTTTCAGTGATACAGTCTGTGTCTTATAACAATGAGTTCAGGGCTTTTGCTGTGATACCACAATTATTCATGTGACATGGAAAAGGGCATGTTTTCATTACCATTACACAATCAGCTCAGATTTTGACATGAATTACTCAGCAAGCTAAACAGTGATCTTTTAAGAGTGTTTACTCCATAAAATAGAAAGCTCTATAATATACAACAAAATATTATCAAATTTACCAGCACTTGATGTACAACCAACTTCTCAGTAATATGCACACAGAAATTGAGTAATACCTTAAAGGTATACAGAACCTTCACTCCAAAGTTAGAAACAAATGTATTAGCACTAGAAGGTATGAAAGCTCAAGATTAATTATTGTGGGGGGAGCAAGAAAACTAGAAAAAACAAAGTGTGAAACTGACAGAATGCTTTTTCAGAACAAATAATTGGTCTTCTCCAGGGAGTTTCAAATGTTCAAATTTGAAACTTAAGCTCTTTTTATTTTAATAGACTCACTTTAAAAACAAAAGAGTCAGCACCTAAAAAAATATTCTAACAGCATAGATGTGTAGTTAGAAAAAAAACTGAAAAAATTTAACAGAGGGACAAGATGAAACATTCCTCATACACTTAGTCAAATAACAGAAATTTTTGAGTCAGAGCCTCTCATATTCTAGGGAGCCCAAAGGCAGCACAATTATACAATCAGAACAAATAATGTTTTTAGAAAACCATCTTTAAGAAGTTGACCCTGACTCTCAAACCATTCAGTGGCTTATAAATGCTGTGGTTAGGATCAAGTAGCCTTGGCAACTGTGGAACCCAGGAAAGTCTCTGGGTGGCAGTTGGTTGATTAACTGCATAATCATGGTTAAGTTGCTTCCAATCTCTAGGCTTCACTTTCCTCATCTGTAAAGTGGGGATAAAGATATCTACCCCACATAACAGTAAATGGAAGAATATTTGTAAAACCTTTAAAAGAGTGCCCGGTCCAGAGTACTAAACGCCCAATCAACAGAAATTAAGAGATTCTTAAATATGATATGCAAAAATTATCTCCCGTGTTTCATAAAGTTTCCAGTTAGTTTGGAATAAAAAACTAGATGGCTGAAAAAAATGCCCAAACCCTACCCTTTCACTGACTTTACCAATACATTTAGGACACATTTAGCACATCATACCTTCTCGAAGGCACACTGAGGGTTTCTGCAAACAGCAGGTTTGCAGATAACAATATCACCATGGCAACGGCAATGCTGGCACGAATCGGGCTTCCAAATTGTGGCATCCTGCAAAGAAGCATAAGCTCTGAGTTAAAAACTGATCAGTCAAGGTATGAACACACAACAGCACCTTCAACGGCCCTACAGCCTGAACAATTAAAAGGCAAAGGAAAAGTCACAGGCACGCATCGTGCTTACTGGGTACTGATTAAATCTCGAGAGGCAATAAAAGCAGTATAATCCATTTCACCACAGTCAACCCACGTAGCCCACGACAAGGGCATGCAGCAGAGAGCTGTCGATACCCAGAGTAAAAACCATCGATTGACCTGAAACGTCAGGGGGACAAGCTGCTCCCTGACTTGAAGTTTCTCTTTGCTCTTAAGCAGCAGAAACCTTCAGAGCCTGTTTAAAGGAAAATGACACTTGGACAGGCACTAGCCAGCATTTTCCAGCTCTTTGCTACCACACACTTTAATGCTCATCAGAATCAAGAAGGACTGAGTAAGTAGTTCAATGTTTTTAAGGCAGACCAACCAACACACTGAGTGGCTATTATGTGTCCAACTGTATGCCAGGCATAAGGGGGTATAAATAAAGCACCATCCATAGGACCTCACAAATTATTTTGGATTATGCACATGGGGATATTAAATAAACAAAAATAGACGACACTATGTTAGTTCTCATCAAATTGAAAAGCAAAGTAAGCGTCATAACAGAAAAGTAAAACTGGGCTCAGTGCAAAAAGGACTTAGAAATGTCCTTCCTATTTCCCACCTTCCATCATGCTGAACCCGTATTTCAATGTGTCCATCTGAAGCATCTTTGAGCACAGAACCCACAGAGACCAGTCTCTGTCCAAGGCTGCTCAGTTGGCTTCAAATTGACCCTACGGAAATATATTTTCTCAGAGATTTCCTAACCTAATTTCCTATTTTGTATGGGTTGAAAACAGCCATACTGTTGGCTGAGTTTTAAACACTCAGTCTCTTTTAAGAGGGCTGTCTGTGTTATTCTCTGGTTTAAAACTACGATGTCTCTCACCTTTACCTCTGGTGGGATAAAGCACAGACGCCATGATCAGGCACTCGCCTCTCTCCCGGGCCTCGGCCAATCTCTCAGTCCTGAGACTTTCATCCCTCACTTAAGTCGGCCAAGCCATTGGACAGCCCCAGCCTCCCTTATCTGTCCCCACTCCTCCTTCACTTCCCCAGAGACAGTCTGCAAACCAGCATGCTTCTTTTAAGCCTCAACCTCAAGGATAAATATTTCCTATCCCTTAACCCTGCACATCACACACACACACACACACACACACACACACACACACACACTCAGGTGTGGCTCTTCAGTGATTCTCTGTGACCTCACTGTTTCCTGCATTCATCTACTTTCCTGTTAGCTTGCTAGACCAGAATGTAAGCCCTCAAAGCAGGCACAGTCCTTGGCTGGCCTCTGTAGGTTCTTTATAAACCAAGGTGCACAGTTCATTAAGTTGCTTAGTAAAGACATTTTCCTTCTTTCTAAAGATTCTCATCCTTTTTTCCTCAGTCAAGCAAATGAAGTGTTATTAGAATTCTTTGGGGCGGAGTCAGAGCAGTGTCCAAGCTCCTGACAGGTCCTCAGAACACTAGCATTTGACTTGAACTGGATGAGCTGGGAAGCCTGCAGATGCTAGCAACAGACACTTTCACACCGCAAGGCTGAAAACACATGCAATGGTTAATGTTGTGTGTCAACTTGGCTAGGATATGGCGCTCTATTGTTTGGTCAAACACCAACCTAGATGTTGCTGTGAAGATGTTTTGTAGATGTCGTTAACTTACAATCAGTTGATTAAGTAAAGGAGATTACCCTTGATAACCTTGGTGGGCCTCATCCAATCAGTTGAAGGCTTACAGAACAAAACCGGAGGTTTCCTGGAGAGGAAGGAATTTGGCCTCAAAACTGTAACACAGGAATTCTGCTGGAATTTTCATACTACCAGCCTGCCCTACAGATTTCAAAATTTCAGACTCAAGACTGTAACTTCAACGCTTGCCTGAATTTCCAACTGGCCAGTCTATAGGCTTGGAACTTGCCAGTCCCCACAATTATTGCACAAGCCAAGATACATACGTCTTTTCTTGGTTCTGTTTCTCCGCAGGACCATATCTGACATACCAACAATGTACTGATTTACATGGATGTGCACAACATTCCCACGCAAAATGAAGTCATCCTTTTAGGCTGAGAAATGTTAAATGCATACATAACCTCTTAGGGAATGTGCTTCAGAAACAAAGTCATTTAAGAAATATAAAGTGCATCTGAAGTGAGATTACATTCCCAGTAGCCAATTCACAAAAAATCGGAATCGAAGCAAATGAGCACTAGAACCTGACTTGCAAAACCTCTGAATCTCTTTCTCTTTATTGTTATGGCTCATTCCTCTGAAATTGGCCATAGTGTGCCAACTATATTGACTCTTCACCCAAAGAGCAATGACAAGTGGGTGAGGAAAAACAAATTCCATCCCCAAGCACAATGTAATATATCTTTCCTGCTGATTTCAAGAAAACGATATTAGTTTCAGGATACAGATTAAATAAAAATGACAACTTCACAAAGGCAGCCACTACCATTTATTGGTCATTATCTTACACTGACTAAGGCCTGACTCTTGGAGCAGGAAACACTGATGGAAGGAGGCACTTGTGGTCCTGGAGGAGGGGGCCTGGTGTGCTTTCCCAGCCTCTGCCCTCATGCCGGAGGGCTGGGCCCAGCAGAGAGGGACAAAAGTGCACATGGATGCTACCTGTGCAAAGCTCTTACCTGCATGACAACCCTAGGAGCTGGCACTATCCTTATTATGACTATTCCCATTTTACAGATGAAGATTCAAGAGACTGAGTAATTTACCCCAGTTCACAAAGCTCAATGGGCTCCAAGAACTCAGGCTGCCTGCGCTTGAACCCTGGTGTCACCATTTATTACGGGTGAGGCCCTTATCAAGTTAAGGTGTCTGTGTTCCAGGTTCTTCATCTGTAAAGTAGGAATGACAAAGTATTTAACTCACGGGGTTATTGAAAGGGTGAAATGAGACGAAGTATTTAAAGAGGTCTGAATAGTGCCTGGAAGTTACTAAGGACCCATTAAATGTAATTTACTTTTTTTAAAAAAAATACATTTTTATTGATTTCAGAGAGGAAGAGAGAGGGAGAGAGATAGAAACATCAATGATAAGAGAGAATCATTGATTGGCTGCTTCCTGCACACCACCCACTGAGGATCGAGCCTGCAACCAGGGCATGTGCCCTTGACTAGAATACAACCCAGGACCCTTCAGTCCACAGGCCGATGCTCTATCTACTGAGCCAAACCGGCTAGAGCTAAATGTAATTTACTTTTAATCCAAATACTTTGTACAATGTCACAGGCATTTAGCAAATATATTTAAAATTTTTCCTTTTCTCATAGGGAAAATAGTCTCATAAGTCCCTTGACTTTCCCATCGTCCTATTCCAGCCTACTCAGGTAAAACAGAGAGATTATGACTGAATTAGGACCCTCACACTGAGATGACCCAGGGCTCTGCAGTTGAAAGGAGGCATGAATCCACAGGTGGCGTTTGCAGGACTACTCGGATACCTGGAAGAGCCACTGACATGGCCATGAATTCATGTCTTCATTTCACGCAGAGGGTGGAGGGCTGCACCAGTTCCACGTGCTCCCTTCTGGTCAGGATGGCTCTAAGGTGCTGCACATTCACCCCAGATGCCGCATTCTCATACCCAGCGTCAAGTCCTCTGCCCCTCAGTTATTTCCTCAGTGACCCCAGACGCCAAAACAGCCCACGACTCTTTTCAGCAGCTCCCAGTCACTGGACTTGGCTTACTGAACTCTACACAGTAGAGTTCTAAAAACATGGAATACTTTTTCACTTTCATTCGTAGAACCACAATTTTCCTCTATGTTAATTCAATGTTAAAGTTATCTGGGCCCAGGAAGCCTTCCTGAATTTAATATCTGTCTTTCCACCAGACTATGACTTCAAGGAAAGAGATCTCTTCCTCTTTGTCCCCATTACCTAACACAGTTCCTGAATGTTGGATGAATTCATTAAAGAATGACCCTGAGTACTTGCTTATCCTCAGGATAACATCTGTCCATGTGAGCTGAGATACCCCAGTTAGGATGCAAGACGTGGATAATGCAATGTTTAAGTGATGTCACTACAAAATCCCCATAATGTAGAAGGTTATTACTTCACTCAATCAAACTATGTTTGAAGAAAAATTTCCTTCATCTAAGGCATCGGACTTGTCAAAAAAGTACTTATAATAATGTCCTCATAGAGTAAATAATTTATGGTAAATTTTATTTTTAAAGATTTTTTATTGATTTTTAAAGAGAAAGGAAGGGAGAGAGAGAAATAAACATCGATTGGCTGCCTCCTGCACACCCCCTACCAGGGATCAAGCCCACAACCCAGGCATGTGCCCTGACAGGGAATCGAACCAGCAACCTTTTGGTGCATGGGACTACACCCAACCAACTGAGTCACACTAGCCAGGGCTATGGTTAATTTTAAATAAAGTAAGCCCTTTACCAAGACCTGGACAGATGGCCATATTTTTTTTTAGCTCTAAAACTTTAAGAATCAATTTCTATGGTCCCATAAAATTGCTTTATGACAGCAGGGATACGAGAGTTCCTCAATAGTTGAAACTTTGGATAAAGTCATAAAGACCAAAGAAATAACATTGTAAAATAAGTTTACAGGTTTTCCATGTTACTATTGCAATTCTCTCTTCCAATCTAACACACTCTGCAAAAGAAATAGTCTTAAAATTGTTTTCCTCTAGAATATAAATTAAAGGATTAGATTTTGACAAAACTAAAAAGCAATCAAAGTATGACCTATTTAAACAGATTCTTATATTTTTAAAATATGTTAATAAAATGTTCTTGCAAATAATATAGTGCCTCCATCCCTAAATATTTTTTTCTTTTATTTAACTTTATTTTTATTGTTGACACTATTATAGATGCCTTTCTTTGCCCATCTCCACCCAGCCCTGGGCCCCCCTTCCCTCTGGACAACACCACGCTGTTGTCTGTGCCTATGGGTTATGCGTATATGTTCTCTGGCTAATCCCTTCACCTTCTTTCATCCACTCTCCCCACTCCCCTCCCCTCTGAAAGCTGTCCGTCTGTTCCATGCATCCATGCCTCTGTTTCTACTTTGTTCGTGAGTTTATTTTATTCATTAGACTCCACATATAAGTGAGAGCATATGGTATTTGTCTTTCTCTGAATGACTTATTTCACTTAGC